AAACTTCTTTACCCATAGCGCTAACAACCGCACCACGACTCACACGTTTATTCCACGAATATATAGCTTAAAGAACTTCCTTCCGTTTAATTAACAAAATCTATTTTGGCCCATTATGTGTCCCCTAATTAGTGTATTAAAATTTCCTTTGGTACGATTGTTTGGTATATTAAGATTGATTTATAAGACGTGAAAATTCAATCATTAGATCAAAATCTATTCAGGGTGGTCTGGCTTTTATTTTGTACACTATACATCGAGTTCTGTGAACAAAATGTTCTTAAATTCACTCCAAAGATATGATGAAAAAAACTGTGGGTCTAGGTTTTGAATCCACCCTGCTGTAGGGCGGGTACCAGCTTGTCAGGGAAATAAAGGCGGTAGGTGCACAATGTTAATTTTATTTTCACCATCACTCCTCGTTAGTCATAAATCGTGGAGTCTTAATATCGATGACCCTCTGGCTCACAATAGACTGTTGGGCGAATTTTTTCTGCACATAAATATTTTTCTGCACAACGCTTTGAATAATGATTGAAATGTATCGTCAAGCGTTTGAAGGTTTTTTGCCTCTCCTATTAGAGAAGAATTTAAGTAATGCATTTTATGTATATCATTTAACTGCTCATTTGACGTAATAATGTTGTCAAATTGTATTTTAAATAATTGCCACTCATCGTATCTTCCTGAGAATTTTGGCATGGGTATTTCAGGAAGTTTATGCTTTGTTTACTTGCAGTTTTTTCTTTTAAATTTTGAGGGGTTTTGCGTTAACGTATTTTCTAAATTTGACTGATTTAGAGTTTTGAAACACGTTTTTCTGGTGGTTGTTGCGTATAGTAATTTGTCATTGTACTCTTCGCTTGTTGCGATTTCTTGTTCGTATTCCGTTGCATTTGTTATAAGCTCTTCAATTTCTGAATTTAAGACTTTAATGTCGAATTTTTTACTAATTAAAATTTCCTGCAACTCGTTTAGTTCCGCTTCATTTGTTTCATAAGTTTGTTTACCTTTATTTTGCATAAACGCGTCTAATCGAGTTATTGCTTTTGAAATACTTGATCGAATTGTGGTACGTTTCTTTTTTAATTTTTCAATTTTTTCCATTATTATTTGTTTTTAATTTAGAAATTCCTCAATTGTAATAAATTTTAATATGAATAAGTAAGATGAACAATTTAAAACAAAACAATACGAATGTATTTGTGATTACCAAATTCTATACAGAATGTTTTAATTGTAAGATACTACTTTTACTAAATACAATAAATTTGAAAGTTTATTTAGATTATACCTAATTATATACTGCAAAATTATTTACCTGCAGTGCTGAGCGGACCATTATGTTGTTAATGCGGGGTAACAAAAGGGGGGTAATTTATCCATGAATATTCCCTTTTAATTAATGTGGACTGTAATATTGCTGATAAGACCTAAAATTAGTAATTTTTCTAAATCTGGTAAATGCTAACATTGGAATACGACAAGAGAGAGAGCACCATTACAACCTTATGACAGCTTGTTTATTGCTACTCTGAGTGTTACAAAAAAGTTACTGTAGGTGGCGCTGGAGTAAAAATACAACACCTAACAATCAAAATTTTTTTTTATCATTCTTAAATTTATAAACAAAAAATAATTTTTTTGCTAGCAATTACTTTTAATTAAAAAGAGTTTCATTATTGTGTGCAAAAAATATTATTTCCTTAAATAGTTTGAGAGAGTGTGAAATAAAAAAAAAATCAAATTTAAGGGATTCAAAATTTAATTAATTAAAACTTATATCTAATTTCAATTTAATTTAAAGGGATAAATAAACTATTGTGAGCAGCGTATTTATAAAATTTCCTTATTTTTTTAGCATCAAGAAAACAGAATCATGTAGAAAAAAAATGGTTTCATTTGGGAAAGTGCGTTTTTGTGCCCTATTTTGTTAAAATTAAAGTAATAAAAACAATGGCGATAATCTAAATACTTTGTCCGGATTATTGCTAGAAAAAAAATTTGTTATAGCTTCAGCATTTTTTTATTCTTTTGGAAACTAACTGAACGCAGTTTTACATATAAATTCTGAATTAACTTCGATGCAAAAGAAAAAGCATTGTTTTTGTGGAACGAAATTAATGGATATAAAGAATTGTAAGAGCATTTAAATGCCCTGTTTTATGATCTGATTAAACATTGAAAGAATTTTAAGAACGCAATTGTAAATATATATTGAAATAGCGTAGTTGTAGATACAATTTAAAGCATTCAACTCTCAGCTTTAAACTCAATAGGAATTTCATAAATGAAATCTGTACTATCATATATTTATGATTATTTCCAGTCTGGTTTTATTAAAAATATAAAAAGACACTAAATGTTTTTGAAGTGACACAAGTGATGGTGATTTAAACAATCCTGATAATCTCAACAGTAGATTTAGATTGAATACTATTTAATCTTAGATAATATAAGCTCTAATATTAGAAGATAAGATTCAGGAGTCAAGCATTTTCTAGTATGCCAGTGATATATTGCATCCATCTAATGTAAGATAATATTATTTTGTGACCTGGTATTAAGTGAAAAAAGTCAAGACACGTTTTCAGAGATAAATTGCTTTCCACAATTGCCTAAAACAAGAAACCAAATTAAATTTCAAAAAAATAAATGAACCATTTTATAGAAATTTTAACTGTTGATCAGAATTGAAGATTTTGCAAGTGCTTTGAAACTAAAAATAATGTCATGGCACAAATTTACATTTCCTCATTATCAGAAAGATAATGAAACATACAGAAAACTGAAAAGGTAGTAAGATATCAGTCATTTATGGGAAAATAACAAGATACCACAAGGTCTAATACAGTCAGTATCAATGCAGGCAAATTTCGCTTATCCATCAATCATAAAAAAATACTAATATATTATGAATATGCATAGTTAAACTTGAGATTTTCTACAATTATGTTTAAGTTATGATATACACTGAAGAGCCAAAAAAACTGGTATACCTGCCTAATATCGTGTAGTGCCCCCGCGAGCACGCAGAAGTGCCGCAAAACGACGTGGCATGGATTCGATCAATGTGTGAAGTAGTGCTGGAGATAATTGACACCATGAATCTTGCAGGGCTATCCATAAACCAGTGGGAGTAAGAGGGGGAGGGGATATCTTCTGAACATCACATTGCAAGGCATACCAAATATGTTCAATAATGTTCAGGTCTGGGGATTTCCAATACTCACGGTATACTCGTACCTGAAAATCCAAATTTCATTGCTATCTCGGAGATGCTATGTCCCATCTCCCGTGCGCCGACTATAACACCACGTTCAAACTTACTTAAATCTATATAGCCTGGCATTGTAGCAGCAGTAACCGATCTAAGAAATGTGCTAGACACTTGTTGTCTTATATACGCGTTGCCGATCGCCGCGCTGTACTTTGATTGGCGCCATACCCCTTTATTTGCATATTCATGCCTGTACCAGTTTTTTTGGCTCTTCAGTGTAGAAATAGGAAATATTTCATTTTTCAAAATAATTAAATTGCATCTTTTGGTATAACAAGTTGATAGTTTTTGTACAGTTGGAAAATACATGTATCACTTTTTAGAAGTGACTATTTTTAAAAAATACTTGTTAATAATAAAGTTTCTGACACAATATTACAAATAAGGCTACAAATGATGGATATGGAAATAATATTATAGAAAATTAATATTACGTAACATACTTATATTTGGTTTTCTAGATTTTAATTAAGGTCAATTGCTGTAATAGTTTGATCTTTAAACATTTTACTGGCAATAAACTCAACTAAACGTTCTTTATTAAATGTTAATGTGAAAATTTACCTTATCACTTAACTCAAATTTTAAAAATAATTATCAAAATTAAACTTTTATAACTGAGCATTTCTTGACGAAAAATCAGTTTCCCCCTTGTTATTCAATGAGAAAGTTACAAGCTGAGGAGAAGTTTCTATGCAAACTTACCCAAATCCAACCTATGAAAACTTACCTCTTTGTCAGTTAAATCAAATGCTTTTATTTTATGGAGGGCTTACAAAAATGAAATAGGTGGCAAAAAATTCTTTTATAAGTATAAAGCCACTTTCTAAAAATAACAAAAGTGCAAAATCTGATAGGAAAACAACCAAAAAATTCATAAATCAGACATTTTCATATTTATTATATAATAAAATATGTTACAAGTATGTAAGTAAATAAAATACAAAAAATAAAAATGCATGTCACAGAAACAGGAAATCTTCCAAAAGTATCACATGTTAATAGTTAAGCATCCAGTTCATACCATCAAAGTTCATCTTTAGGAATATGCTCCTGAAAAAAAAAAGATCATTATTTATAAAAGATGGAAACATCATAAGAGCAAAAAAATTTAAAAATTGCACAAAATGTTTTTGAATGCATCATTAACCATAACAATTGCCGAATAAATTATAACTAATTAATTGGCTACTGTAAAATACTGTGCTCTATAAAAGAAAATTTATCCTGGAGAAATCTTAAATATGAAATGATTGATGCAAATAACTCTACTGACCCAAATTTCTAATGCAGGAGGAAATTAAAAAAGGCATTCTGAGAATATAAGCAAAGAAATGAACAGTTTCATAAAATATTGTTTGTCTAGAGCAGTGTTTCCCAAACTTATGACTTTTGTGTACCCTTTGTAAATTTTTCGTAACGCTGTGTACCACTAACAAAAAAATGAATGTATTTTTTTAAAAAATATGTTCATTTAAAATGGAGAATAAAGTTAAAAACCACAACTGGCTGTTGACACCACTAATTATTAACTGTTAACTCTGAAAAAAATTAGTCAATAGAAAAATATGTAATCGTAAATTTTCATGGTTACCTTTGTTTTTAAATAAAATCTTTTGAAATGTTGGTGTTTTGCAAGATATTTTGTCTAAGAACGCATACCCCCGCTAAACTGTTCTCGTACCCCTAGGGGTACGCGTACCACACTTTGGGAAACACTGGTCTAGAGTAAGATTTTCTCTCTCCACTTAAGGCTGTCTGCTGTTATAGAAACAAGAATAGCACATTTTCAAAGAGGGGAGCTTTGGTGATAGATTAGATAGGAAGTTTATCAGAATGGCTGACTCTGCTGCTAGTATTAGACTTATTCAATCAGATTTAGGAATTTTTTAAATATTCATGTGGATTTCTCTTTATTTAAAATGATGCTTTTTATGCAATTGGTTGCTTTTAAAGTACAAAAAAAAGAAGGAAAAAAACCCATTGAATATATTGATGTTTCTTTTGAGAAAACACAATAGTTCCCGTAAAATCATTTGAAAGAAGTGGAAAACCTTAAAAGGTCTTAAGATGTGTAAACGTAAATGATCACATTCCTTTAAGAGTTTGACGTTTATAAATAGTACAATGAGATGGATATTCTTTATTGTGAACTGCAGGTTGCCTATTAGCCTTTTTACTGCAGACTGATGAAAAATAGGTAATTTATCTCTTTTAGCTCCGAACCCATGGGAATTTCTTATTGTCATTTCTAAAGTATTCATCTCTGGGCCTATACCCCTTTTGCCAGCTCTTACACTAACATCAAAGACAAGAATAAGCAGAAACAAAAAATTTATTGTTCAATATGAAAAAGTTTTTTTTCTAAAAATAATTTTTCTAAAATAGAAGCTTTTGATATAGTGAGAAGCATCGAATGCTCAGTTCTTTTCATTCAAAGGCTAATACCATAGACTGACGAAAAAGATTCCCGTTCTCTCGCTGACCCGAGCCCCAAACTATCCTAAACAGTGACCCAACATTCCTACTTGAAATAGTTATACCTTGTATTCATAATCACAACCATTGTTCCAGACGAATGGCTAACATTTCTCTAAGGACAAGCCCGTAGCTAAGCAACCATGGGGAAAGATGAAATTAAAGAATTTTATGAACCTTTTTAATTGCATATCAACAGAGATAAAATTTTTTGCACAGGTTGTTCTTCTAAAAATGGTCTCGAAGAATAAAATTTAAATAACCCCAGAAATTATATAACTGAATTGTCAAAACGCACTGAGTAGTTTAGACCTCGGTTTCGCGGTATACGTAAACCTGGTCTAAATAAAAAACTATACTTCATTGCTCAAACGTAGTTTTGTCGAGGTTTAATGAAGCTAGAGTAAGACCAAGCTGATCGGATATATCTGTACTGCAATTTTAACCTTGTTCATAAATTTATCTAATCAGGTGGGAGTCGCATCTGTCACAATAGACGGGGGCAGTGATGACAAAATCAAGACGTCGACCATCATCCCTTCCCCTTCAGCATTCCAAACATTATCTTGAGCTAAATCCTTAATATGGCATTTCCTATTAATGTAACGTGATTTCTTGTCAATTTTTAATAACTGAATACTTTATGTAATTACATTAAGGAGCTAGTTTGGATAGAAATAATCGATTTGATGCAATAGCATCATTGATTTTTAGTTTAAGAGCAATTAAATTTTAAAAAAAAGTTAAGGACTGGTTATTAGTTTTGGTTTCAAGATCGTTTCGACTTTCTCCAAAATTATAATTTCTGTATAAATTATCCTTCAATTGATTTCAAAAGATATTGGTGAAACGTTAACATTGTTCTTAAAACTTTTTATCACAAATTAAACTATGCATTCTATTTATTTAAGAATTTTTTAACTCTTGAGAAATGTTTTCTCTATCTGAAATAAAAAGCAACTTTTAATGCAAACGTTATAATGCTAAGCTTCAGAACTGTATTTAATACTGCACTAGCCTTAACACACTAGAAATAAGACTTGCATTGACTGAAATATTTCAATGTATGTATATGTTGAGTTTAATTTAAACGAGCACTAAGGTTCTTAAAACATAAATATTTTTACCAGAAACTTAATTATTTCCAAAATTAAAAATAAAACATTGTAATTACTTTTATTTTAATTTTTTGTTTATTTTATTATTATACATTAAATAATATGATATTAACCTTCTTTTTCTCATGGAAAATTTCATGATGCAATAATGCTTATTTAATGATTTCTACAAAAAAAAAATTATTTATAAAACATAACACATTAAGATTATATATTATCTGAATATCTTAATCCTTCTCTGAAATTAAATTTCTGAAACATTAAAAATCCTTAAAATAAGACTGTATGAGATTATCTTTACGTATTAAGTATTCAGGATCCTGAAGGCAATAAAAAGAAAAAAGTTACATATATTTTGAGAGACACTGTTCTGAAATGTTGGTTATTTCAATACACTTTAGACGGCAGGAACTAAACAAGCATTATTCTGCACGTTTGACTAGTGTGTTGAAGATTAATACACACATATATATATATACATTATATACATATATATATGCAGTAGAGAACCATTTATCCGGTATCCAGATAACCGGGAAACCAGAAAACCGGGAAAAATTTTGCTCGAATTTCCCGCCATTTTAAACTAGAACGAAAAAAAGCGGAAATTGGACTCATCCTTGAAGTTGAGTAGAGGAAAATGTAAGGAAGGGGAAGATTTTTTCCCCCGTTTACCCAGAGAAACGTCATTTCCTCCGTGACCTTGAAGGCAGGCAAGGGAGGAATGTTTTATTTTTTCCTTTAGGCCGTCAATCAAACTCAAGGGTGTGGCATGCTGATTTCGTTTTCTGCTTGATTTACAAGGGGGGTGGGGAAAATGCATTGCAATCATATCAGTGAACAGAAAAAGAAAAGAGAAAAATATATTTATTTGACATCGACTAATAAAAATAAAATCTTTTTCTTTTGAATAAATTTGGAAGTGCGGTATCAATTACAAGTTTTTCTTGGTGTGGATTCACATTTGCTGTAATTAAAAATCTTGTTTTTATCAACAAAAAAATAAAATAAAAGGAGAATTGTTTATTATTTTAAACATAGGATTATTTTATGAAGCAGATTGCAGTTTTGTTTTTCTGATTCCACTACGTTTGATTTTTTTTCTTTTCGCGATAAATTTCGCACTCAATAAATTAATTCTTTTTATTCATAAATTTTATCATTAGGTTTTTTTTTTTTTGTTTTGAATTCCGTTGATCTTGCCTTGTTCCGGGTTTTAATATTTATGCTAGTGCCTTTTTTAACTATCGTTTCGGTTCGATAATTTTCAAGTGTTTTTATTTAGATTAATAAGTTTTCCTTTTATTTTATCGTTTCCCCCCGTATAATTAGGTATGAAATATATTGCGTTATTTAATCATTGGTTTTGTTTATATTATTTAATTTAGGAATTGTAATTATTTTTAAAAAATAAATATGAGAATTTTGTATTTTTTAAACTTGATTTTCTTGTCTAAACTTGCAAATTTTTTTATTCTTTTAAATGTTATATTTCTACCATTTTTTTTTTTTTTTAAAGTTAGGAGTACCTTTCTTTTTTCTCTTACTTTATGCATTACACTTTTTCCTTGTACTTCGGGTTCGATAAAACATCGATTAACGACACTTTTTGGTCGATCCAGAAAACCGGGAAATTCAGATATCCGGGATAGCGATGGTCCCGAGCATCCCGGATAATTGGTTCTCTGCTGTATATGTATATTATATATATCTATACAAATATATGTATGTATTATTATATATATATTATAAATACATAAAGTGCAAACAATAAGAAAATAATTATAACTATTAATTATAATTATAACTATTTAAAAAAATTAGTTCCATAACTTATCACGCTGTAAAAGGACCTAGTAATTTTAACAGGATCCTCACTTGCAGTATCAAAATATATTATCTGAAATATAAATAACTAAGATATGTAGAAAATTGCACATGGGTTACAATGGAATAAAAAAGAAATTAAAATTCGATAGCTAATTCAAGAATTTTTAACTTCAATATTTGACTCTATGAACAATTCTATTTGGGGTAATGCCTGCTTTTATAAGTGTAAGGAATTTTGCTAGCAATTAGTAGAATTTAGAGGCTTCAATACTTGATCTAACAGATAATAGAATATCTAACATATAGGGCTTCTTTTGTTTGCAACTTGGTCAATGACTTAACCAAAACACCATTTTTGATGTCCACTAACAGTCCAAAATTACGCAAGAAATTATCACCTATAATCGGATGTGACATAGCAGCGATGATGAAAAGCAAGTTAAGCTCTCTTATCCATAGATCTAATTTTAGCAGGTGATGACTGAAGGCTGAAACAGCTGCTCCGTTTGCGGTATATAGTTGCTGCTGGGCTTATGGGCAGAATGAGGAACAACAGATATATCTGCTCCAGTATCAATGAGATACCATGAAGAAGATGCTTTACCAGTCAGATATGAACGTTGAATCATTGACTCACCACCACCCCTTTCGCCAGATGACGGCTCTAGGAATTTTCGGACTGGAAAGTACAGGGAAATCGACACTTAGTCGCTCGCTGTTTGAAGTTTCTGTGGTACTAGCAGTGTTAAGAATTCTTATCCTGTCGGGTTCAGCTTTCTGAGTGTTGCTGACTACACTCCCTCAAATGGTCATATACACGGTCTCCAAACGAGAAGTTGTTTTACTAAACATTGTCCGCAAATCTAGCTGATCTGTTAAAACTGCCATGTTAATTGAAGATGAACCAGATGTAGTTGACATGATTCCTTCGGACATTTCGACTAATTAACCCGATTGTTGATTGAAATGGCCAAAATCTGTCACACCTTGGTAGGTAACCTCTGCAAAAACAAAGTTTTTAAAAGCTTCTTGTTGATTTGTGCTGTGTTGACCTTCAGAAGTCCCAGGCATCACTAGAACCAATTCAAAAACAAATTTGCTATTTCACAGGCACTCGGCACAATAAGAGCTGAACACCACTTAAAAATCCAGTGAGCAGCACAGAACCATAGAAACAGCTTCAAGAAATTTCAAAAAAGTCCACATGTTCACTTTACCTAAGTCACTAACTGTAGAAATTGTTGGATAAATAAATGTTAAAAGGGTTTTTTACTATTTTGATTGATTATATAACAAAAGATTATAGGTTCAATTTTCCTCAGTCACTAAAGATGACGATCTCATACATTTAACTTATGTCGGTAACATCATGGTCTGTGGGGATCGGTCAGTTTTTTTTCATTTGCTGTTGGTCATTCTTGCATGGATCATGATGTCATTCATTATCTGTTTAAAGAGTATTCAAGCTTCTGCTGAAGTCGATTATTTTGTATTCATTCTTTCTTTTTGTTACTTATTTGTCCCTCTGCTTGTGAGAGTATGTCTGCCAGAATAATATGTTTTTAAAATAAATTTATTGCTATAGAAACTTTGTTTTCTTATTTGTTTTGTTGACATACAGATACAATGATATTCTGCGACAATCTCAGATGTCAGAAATGTCAACATCGAACACACATAACATGGTTCTTGGAACAACTCTATTAATTATGTTAATTTAAATTTATTGCAAAATATATAAAAATATTTAAAGTTTTGCCGAAGAATAAAAACACGATGAATTAAGATTTACTGCTTGTTGTATCTAGCTGCTTCCAACAACAAGAGAGCTGCATCATATTTTCACTTCGACTGCTAAGTTCCAACTCCTAAGCGAGACAGTTAACAGCTAAAAAGCCTTGTTCCATATTCTTTCGTATACTGCCATACCAATCCGCGCCTTTCTGTTCTCCTCCACAACAGTGGTGCACGACCCAGTGGGACTGATGCAAATACTTTGTAAAATGATTATGTCAACTGTGTGCTGTCTTACTACACAGAAGTAAATAAGGCATTCGATATCAAACAGAAAATAGTAAAAATCAGCTAAATTTAAAAATGTATAGTATTTTATGAATTTTTTTTTCTTTTTTTAAATGTCAAGTTTGACACAATTGTCTGAAAAAAAGTTTGAGCAGATTTAATGAACAACATTTTACATACAATATATTAAAATCAGAAACTTTAACTATTTCCATTACTTATTACAATAAATATTACTTCCAATTACAGTATTATCTAGTTATTATTGTTTTTTAAAATGACTGAAGTTAGTTTCATTTTCCATTCAACTTTCTCGAAGCCTCTATTAAAAAGCAAATTCAAATTTTATAATTTCGATAGAAGGAAAAACATGTTGCAAACAGAATTTTAAAATTTAAACACCTTAAAAATGCTTTTTTTTTTCAAAAAGAATTTTACTGATTTCAATAAAAATAACCTTTTTCTTCCCTAATTTTAATACCGCAAAAGACACTTTATTGAGAGAATCGAGCTACTTGAAAGATGAAAAATTACTTTAATAAGAATCAGAACTCTTATAAATTATAATATCTATACCAAACTAATAAAAAAACAATTACATTAAAGCAGTTTTTTAAAACAAATTATTAAGAAAAATCACAGAATATATTTTTCAATGCAAAAATAATTACATTAGGAACAGAATTGTTATTATAATTGATAAAAAGAAAATTCAAAATGTTTTGAAAATAAATATATTATAACTAGATTAAATTTATTATTTTCTAAGATTTAGCTGCTGAAAAAGTCAATAAAAAAATGCAAGTACCTTGTTGTTTTTTAATTCCAACCTTGTATTCAAAAATGAAAAAACTCCTTTGTATGAAAGAATTTCTATTTCTTCACCCATGGGATTCTAAAAATATTCAGAGACAAACTGCTTTACAAGTGATAAAAATTATACATAAATTAGATTAAAAATAAACGCTGTTTTGAAAATGGGATTATAAAATAGTCAGAGAAAAATTGCTTTACAAGAAAATATATACATAGATAGGGGAACCTGGATTTTACGTATTCCGTCAGACTAGCATTAAAAAACGCACAAAGCAAGATAACATAAAAACAGGGGGAAAAGTATATTTTTCAAAGATTTACACTTACGAGGTGAACTACAAGAAAAAATACGTAATCATTGCACGTTTTTCTGCTTCTAGATACTATTTTAATAATAACCCTATCAATACTTCATATTGTTTGCAAATTTACTTTATGGATTATATTAACTTATATTTCAGATTTTTTATGCTTTCAAACTCTTGATCAGTTGTAGGTTTATCCTCCAATTTTTAAATTTTTTTTGTTCATCTTCATTGTGTTCCCCACTATCATTGGGAGCAGGGGTATAATCAGATATTGAAGGAGTTAAAAAGTAATGGGACGTGTGTTGCAGTGGATATACATGTAGTCAACTTTGGAAGATTAATTCTATTCTGAAGGGCCAATGTTCCCGTTGGATACCAACAAGTAATTAATCCCAAGAAGTTTCATTAAACTCATTTGTAATGTATTTTAGTCAGCAGACACAAAAACAATAAGACTTTTAAGTAAGTTTTTTATAACAACAAAAATACATTAAAAGTATTGCATTAATATAATAACACCTTAGTTGGGTAAAATTTGTTTTATAAATTAATTCTTCACATTAAAAATTGTATTAGTTACATGAAACATTTTATATTTTATTGTCTAGGACACATAATTTTTCACTGATTCTAACTTCTATGTAATGCTGTTCTGTAATCGTTTAAAAATATGAAAAATTTATGAATACAAAAACATTAAAAAACTTTTATTTCATTTTGTACTTGGAAATGCTTTTAATAATCTTCATTCAACTCTTCTCTATTTTCGTTGGCAATTCAACAGGTTTGATAATTTCAGTTTAACTTCCCCAGTAATATTTTGTTGAATTTTGATTTCATCGTTTTCAGGAAAAGATCCCAGATTTGTGCTTTAAAGTTTTGTCTATATATTGATATTATTTCTACTTATTTACTCGTTTCATATATTCTAGTCGTCTAATTTATTTTTACCAAGATTTTAAATAGATGGAAAATTATGAAATGAAATTTTTATAATTTATTAGTCGTTGTCTCAATAGTTTATCATGAATTTCAATAATTTTATTGCATAATTAATTGATTAAAATATGGTAGAGTCAAATACTTCTTTCTATTTTTCGAAATATTTCTGTTATTATAACTATTTATAAATATAATATTTAGTTTTTTTTTTTTCATTACAAAATTTTAGTTTACACGCATCTTTTTATGCTTAATAAAACAATGTTTCACATAGCTTTTGAAGTATTTTTTATTTTGATAAACATTTATAAATATTACGTAATGCTGGTTGATAACATTAGTTTTATGGATTACTTCGATATGTTTAAGATTTATCATACCTATCCATTATAACGATATCTTTATTTTCCTTTTAAGCTGTTTAAATTTATAATGCAATCTGATTTTGATGAATATAATCCCTCCACCACAACTTTAAAACCAAATCAATGCATATGAGATTATAATATTGTAAGAACCCAGTCCTTAAAATAAGTGGTATGCTAAATATCTAATTAGAACAACATTCAATTAATTTATACCTGAGTGGCATGTCCTTTTCTTCCTTCATAAAACAAAATTGTTGGATAAGCTTGAACTCCAGCCATTTTACATACATCTGGAAAATGATCACAGTTTACTTTACCAACCTTCACTTGTCCCTCAACAACCTAAAAGATAATTATCAGCCTTACAATTATGCAAAAAGACAAAAATATTTATGGAATGAGGCATTTTAATGAATGTAATTAAAAAAAAAATCTTAGCTTTTCTGCCAAAAGTGATAGTTTTGAAAATGTGTAATAAATAAACTGTTGTTTAAAAAAGGCTATTGTGTTACGTTTCTGCAATCAACATTTTACTTTAAAGCTAATAACAATTTAAATATGTCCCAAAAACTAGCAGTATTCAGTAACCTACTTTTCAATTCTTAAATCCTTCTTAAGTTTAGGAAGGTATAGCTGCTGGGAAAATGCACAATGAGATTCAATAAAACAACCAAGCCATAGCATACATTGTAAATATACTTTTTGACTGATTCTTTTAAGTAATTGCAATGGCTGAGAGCAAACCAAATCCAGACCTGGAAACATTGTAGTAAGGTTTTCAGCAGCAATAATAGAAACAGCAGGAATTTTTTAGAACATTTTAAGAGTATAAATGCAGTATCAAACAAAATTATATTTCTCACCATAAATTATATATATATATATATAAATATATATATATGAGAGGGCTCCNTCGGATTTTTAAATCTCGTAAATAAGAATCACAACGTACAATATTCAAATCGCGTGAATAATATATATAACAAAATAAATACAAAAAAATGAAGAAAATTAAGAAAAACAATAAGTTTCACTTATTGCGCAAGTATTGCGGATATAATCGTGGGGGCTGATGAAAAGATTATAGCTTTTATTTTCCGGATTTGTTAATAAAATTTTATCCTTTCTTTTTTCCCCAGTTCTTTATTTTTTAAATTTTATTATAACTTTTCTTTCTCCCCCTTTTTTCGTATGTTTGTAATTTTCCTTGGTTTTATCTTCATTTTGAACTTATATATGTATACACACACACATATATATATATATATATATAGTTCCCACTCAATGTTAAAAAAAAAAAAAAAAAAAATTCAAAGATTTTCAATGACTTGAAATCAAATTTTTCAAGGACCTAGCAATATGCTAAAATAGATGCAATATGCTAATATACATGTCAACCAGATGTTAATTGAAACAGAAATTGCATATTTTAAAAGCACAATGCTCAGTTGACAAAAAATTATATATTAAATTTAAATACAAAAAAAGGCTTGAAATTTCTTAATTTTAATGTAATATATGATTGCCAATTTTAAAACATATGATAAAACTAAATTTTGCGAATTTACAGATTAGAAATAGTAATATAAAACAATGTGATTTTTATTTATTTTTAAAAATAATCATACTTAAAAATAATGAAAAAAAAAAAAAAACATTTTTTTCATTTTATGTTCTTAAAAATAAAATATTTCGGAACAATTTTGCATTTCTTCTTAACTTTAGGTTTAATATTATCCAGTTAATTTTTTTTCTTTGACTGCTTATCTCAAAGAGTTTGATTTCTTGAATAATGATAAATCATCCTTCTTTGCAGTTTCTTCAATAAAAGCTTTACAGGATTTGTCCATTTCTAAAATATCTTTCTCTAAACACACTTTTTTTTTAAACTTATGATCATTGAGTTCATCGGAAATTAATTTTCTTTTTTTTTCTCCAGTTTCTTGAAGTGTTTTCTTTCTTCTTTTTTTTCAAATCTAAAATATATATTTGCCTTGCAGATGACACACATTTTCTCATTTCTTTTGTAATGAGAATATTTAAAAAGTCACTATAAGTGTTTATTGCATCAGCAATAAGTCTCTAAGCAACGTATGATTCACTTTGTAAGTTTTCAACCTCTAACTGCTAATTAATAGAAAATCCTCGTTCAACATCGACCATGACATACATCATACATCCTGACCATGGGAGAGTGTCATTACTATTTTCATAATATTCCATATTTTTTATAAGACTCAATATCTTGGCTGACAAATTCATTTAGAAAGGTGTCCAGCCTAGTTTTTTTGAGGGGAATAACTTTGAAAAGAAAAGGGATGAATTTTGACAACAAATCAAAAAATTCTTGTATTCTAATATGATGGAATAACAATCTTTATCTAATATGAAGTTATTTCCAACCAAATAATTTAATAAAGTTATAAAATACTTTTCACAATTAAAAGGCTTGGAAGATATTTTTCTGGGATCAAAATAGGAAGAAGATTTGACTAAAATATAATTGATCGAGCACTTCTTCAATCAATGAAAAATAATGTTTATCACAAACTGTTGGCAATTATGCTTTAACATTAATGCATCTTTGTCACCAATGATCTTTTTTAACAATAGTTGTTTTAGAAACTTGTCTGATGTAAAACCCAAGGATGAGATTAGCCAAAAGGCAAAAAAGCTGAATTTTCACGATAGTAAATTTTATGCAAGAGCAACCCTTTAATAATAAATTCCAGACAGTTTAAGGTAATAAATAATGTGTTGACATACAATTGTGTACTAATCTATTATTATATAAATGATAACATTGATACTTAACATTTAGGGAAAATAAAAATTACCAATCGAAAAAATAAAGCTGGAAATTATATTTTTCCTCAGTTCACATAAGACACAATTATTACTTGAAAAACTACCTGGTTTAGCAAATTAAAACTACTGAGAATATACATTAATATTTCATTTCTTTTAATAAATAATGTTATGTGATTTATGGCAAATATATCAGTAATATTACTTTTTAAATTATATTGGGAAAAAAACTTTAACAATGGACCGAATCATTATGTTCATATTATAGTCAAATCTAACTAGAGCCCTCTGAAACATATCAAAAACAGTGAAGTAGAGATACATAGTAACTTCTAAACATACAAAAATTGCTATTTTAGTTTGAAAAATTTCATGACAAACAGCAACTGTTTAGATAATTGTTTTTTATTTGACAAGAATTTTGCATTTTTAAGCATAAATAACAGCAATTATAAATAAAATTTTGATGATGAGTTAATCAACTCTTCTTCCAAAAAAAAAAAATATATAATTAAATCCCTTTTTAAGTGATTGCTTTTGTTTGCTATATCTTTTATGTTTGCTATATTTAGTCGTTGGTCCATCTTCAAACATCTTGAGACAAATCCTATTTTTTCTTCTTTGCAAGCACAGAATGTAAGTTTGAATATATTCCCTTCCAGTTTCTCTGATGTTGTAACACTTACATATACTAATAATCATCGTTAGAAAAACAGTTGTCTTTATAGTAACTAATTTTAAAAAATTTACTTCTTACAAGAATCGCGATAGTTGATCTTAAAATTGCGTGAATATGAATAACAATTATGGATTTTGAAATCACATGAATATGAAACTAGATATAAGATTTTGAAAATGAGAAAATACAAACTGGGATATAGGATTTTTAAAACGCGTAAATACAAATCACGATTCATAATTTTTAGATTGCGTAAATACGAATCATGATGCGTGATTTTTTAAAATTGCATAAATAAGAATTATGATGCATAATTTTTACAATGCGTGAATGCGAATCCTAATGCCTTATTTTAAAATCACTTATAAATACGAAAATCAATGTTTGATATTATAAACCGCATGAGCAAATCAAGACACTGAATTTTAAACTTGCGTGAATATGAATAGCTACATAGGTTTTTAAAAAGGCGTAAATACGAATCACAATATCGGTTCTTTAAATCTCGTAAATAAGAATCGCAACGAACAATATTCAAATCGCGTGAATAAGAATCGCAACACGCAAATATGAAAAGCTATGCTTGATATTAAAATCGTGTGAATAAGAATCGAGATATTAGCAGATTCCAGGCTAGGGACCTCTAAAAGGCTAGTCAGAACCAGCGTCGTTAGAACTACGAAAATCGGATCTATCAGCAAGGTGGGTAAAAAATTCGGAAAATCTTATCTGCTGCGTGTAAAAGGGGTGAAAATAGCTAAAATAAGTAAAAATGAGAACGGACTGGTAGCTATGTAGTTTGAATTTTCTGTTTCTCTTTGAAAATCGGTGNAAAAATAAAAAAAAAAAGCTGAAATTCAAGAGATAAAAGTGAAAGAAGCGGAAATCCGCTAAAAAGCGGAAAAATCTCATCCCTGAAAACCCAAACTTATTTGATCCTCAGAGTTAAGTAAATTCTACTTCACACAGCTGTAAAGCCGATATTTTTTCTGTGTGCTTGGATTAGCTTTACCAAATCATCAGCAAAATGGCATGAAAGGTGTATCAGTCTGATAAAATTCCAGAAAGGGTGTAAAAATTTTGGTGACTGACAGAAAGGAATGAAATTTGGTGAGAATTTTTTGTTGACTCAAGAATATTGAAACTATAAAAATATTCAATAAAATTAAACAAATTTTTTCTTTAACATTTGAATAAAATTCATTGAAAACTATGCAAGATTAAAGTAGTTATTTTATACTGTGCATGCGCAGAAAAATGTAATGATTTTTTTTCATGATTTTGTAATGAATCATATATAGCATAGAATGAAAGTAGTTCGATTTGAATATCTTAAAAATTTTAAAAGTTTTAGACAATTTTCTAAGTAGTTTTTGTACTTTTTAAAAGAAAATCAAAATACTGAAGGGTTTTCCACAAATAATATTTTGCATTATAAGACAAAATTAAATAACACATGGTAATACCTTAAACAAGTTATGCAGTCTATGCATCAGTGTAAATTCTTATCTAGGATAGAATCCAAATATGGAAGATACAACTGACAAACCTAAATGGCAGGTAGCCATCCCTTTTCATCTATTTACCAGACACAATTGCCTTGTTACTTATCTGTATCACATTGGCATTGTAGCAGTCACCACTTTTTGTCTAATCTGGATTGCAACATTACTCTAATTAAAGCTGCCTCCCACCTGTGCAAAAGAAGAAAAAAAACCTATGGACAAATGTTACATGCAGATCTGTAAAGCTCTCCATGGAAATACAGAATCGTCAAGATATTGGGAAGTGACAGGACTTGTGGAGCAATAATCATAGGTTTTCTAAAGAAAATTTTGATTTTATTGTTCTGGTGTTTCATTGTTTAAATTATTCTTGCTCTAATTTTTGTTTATGGCTTCAGTCATTGGAAATTTAAAAAAATATAAGGTTAAATTGCTGGTAATTACAGACTTTTTGACAGATTTTGTCAAAGAAAAGGGACTTTAGTAAAGTGCTTGAATATCAGAATGTGTTAGTGAATAGGGTTTACATTGTTTATATGTGTTATAAATAGTTTTAAAACTGCATGAATTCTTTTCCATACTTTTTATGGTTTGTGCGCTAAATTAAACATTATTTTACTAGCTGAAGCAATGACAGCTAGATTTTTTGTTCAGAGCTAGATTTAGCACTATTTATTTCTTTTTTATGGGCTCATCATACCTTATAACAGTACTATGATTTATCTCATCACATAAAATGTGTAAAATTTAGAAATTTTCCAAGTTAAAAAAAGGAAAATTAAAATTTTGCATTTCAGGTGCAATCACACTGTTTAATGATTATGGTATTATGCATAGATTTATGTACAATATTATACAAGACAGCAAAATATTGTACTCACTATATAAATGTTGAAAAACTAAATATTTATTTCATGTACTAAAAGCCTATAGTATTGGCAAGATAAAAGCCATAAGCATCTATGGTTCTGGTCTTTAAAATATTACTAAAGTTTTGCAGATATTTATAATTGAACATTATTATAGATAAAAAAAAATTGGTAATTGCAAAAATTCTTTAAGCATTTAAGATTAATTGAACATTGTAAATGTTTATTTTTGTTGTTTCAAAAATTTCTAAGAAAAGCTATTACTCACTTTTCAGCTCTGATGACAGATTGAGTCAGAAATTGAAAACAATTTTCTTACTTTAAAAGATTATTGAAAATTACAAAAATAACGAGTATTCTTACTTGAGCAACTTTTTCAAATTCTGGAGCAAACATTTGACAGTGTCCACACCAAGGGGCAAAAAAATCAATAACCCAAGGCTGAGTATCAGATAATACATTTTTGTATGTTGAACTTCCCAAAGACTCTACTTTTGAAGGCAAGAAATCATGAATCCAGCCTTGAAGAGAGGCAGCATCTCTACTTCTTCCATTGAATGTGCTTTAAAACATATTATAAAAATGATTATTAAAATATTTGATTTATCATAACTGGAAAGGAAAAATATATATTAAGCATATATGCTGAAAACATTCAGAAGTAGTCAAAGGCAGACTATAATACAAATAACAAACTCTGAAAAAAAAAATTTACTTACACGAATTTTTTGATTCCAGTACTTTCTCTAGGATATAAAAGAATAGTGGGATAGCTGTTAATATTCATTTCATCACAAAGGGAACTATGAAGCTGGCAATTAACATCACCAATATGAACAAAGGATAACGACTTCAACATCTAATTAATGCAAACAAAACATTTATTAAGAACACTTTAGGAAAACCCAATGAACAAGGGTATGTTTTTATTTTAATCTGTGAAAAAGAAATATAGCAGTTTTTCCCATTTTAAATCTCACAACATTTAAAAATTTCAGAGATTTTTCTTATACTATTGAAATATATGAGAGTCATGTGTATCTATGACATGATTATTTCAATCTGTTATAAAACATATGTATCCAATAACATTTTAAAAGCTAAAATATACTAATATATTTATTTAAAGAGAAACAGTCAAATTAATTTCAATACTGTGGAAATAAATTACTTTCTACTCTCTTTTGAGAGGCAGTAAGCACATAGTAGCCTTACATTCAGGATTTAAATAATAATAAATAAAAAAAAAGAGTTTGGAGGACCTCAAATCAGTTTTTTTTAAAGATGAGTGTCAGTGCCCGTTTTTCAAATGCTTTCATGAAAATCAGACCAGCTTTGCAAATAATTTCAAAAATTTAGGAGAATATCTAAGTATAATTATAAAGAAGCAAAGTTCCTTCTCTTCTTAAAATTTTAATTTTAAAGCATTTGAGTGCAGATAAGACGTAGTAAATCAGTAATCTCAAAGATGGTGCTACCAGTTTCATTACCTATAGAAACTTACAAATTAAGTCACTTAAATATAGTTTTTAAAAACTTTAAAAGGTTTTTAGAAAAAAATTATACTTACATAATTCTTGAAACATTTCTGCATTTATATTATACTTTACTTTTAATGATAGTCCTAGTTTGAATGAGCTGGTCTGATTTTCTAGATAAGCTGCTCTATGATTTTAAGAAGTCACCAAAGACATCTACTTCCATTATGTGGCATCATTCATAACCCAATGCCCACTTGGACTTCTTTCATAGTAGATTTTTCTAGGCTGAATGGAGAAGCATAGGTGTTCATCCGAAGCTAGTATCATTATCCTTAAAATTTCCCATGTTTCTATAAAATTACAATATTTCAAGACACCTATTTAACCGAGAGTCAGAAATAATCTAAAACTGACAGAGGATTTACCCTGAAGATTTTTAAAATATCAAAAATAAATAAAATTAAATAGATTATGAATGCAGGGCAAGTTGGAATAGTTGTAATGTTTGTCATGATTGTTTGATTCTTAAAAACAGTAAACTTGTATAAGAATTTAAAAGTCAGGTAAGTACTAAAATCGATGTTTAATATTAAAATAGAGTGATCAAGAATCCTGATATTAGCAGATTCTGGCACAGTTCCAAATATTCAAAATGGGTATATCTATTTGTTAAATAAGTTTGATGTATAATTTGTAATAAAAGTGTTGTTTTAAAATCTGATAGTTGGATAATACAAACTACATAATTGATATAAAACTACATTTCCCATAAAAGAAACTAAACTTCACATTAAATATGAATTCTTATGATGGTGCTGACTAGGCGGGAGATATTTTTAACAGAAAAAGAACTACTGGTTTTGTAGTTCAATGATTTGGAAATCTGATTTATTGGAAATTGAAAAAATAAATAATTAAATGAATTTTTTAAAAAAACTGTGTTACTAAGTCATTTACTTTTGCAGAACATATTGCATTGTCTGAAGCTGTAACAAAAATAATTTTTTAAGAGATGTTATTAAGAATATTTTTACTGAGATTTAACAACCCATTATAGTTTATGAGGATAATTCTGGAGCTCTTAATATAGCTAAATATGGAAAATTTCTAAGCATATTGAATTGAGATTAAGGTAGATTCAGATTCAAATATTGCTAATATTTTTACTTCAGTTTTGAGAAAAATTCGTGTCTTTTTAACTTCAAAGTAAAGCTAAAATTGGTATAAGTCTGGCTTAGTTTGAAAATTAAGCAAGTTAAATTGCATTTAGACTTTGTTTAGCATTAAAGATAATGTTTTCTTATAAGTGTTGTTTTTGTGTTTAAAAGTTATGTCTTCTTAATATATATGCAGTTATATTTTTCTGGTATAAAAATAAATAGAAAGAAGTGTGTTAATTTTTTAAATATATATATTTACTATTTCTGGTAAAATTTGTCTATGCTATACACTTTATCATTTTGGCAATACTGTTCACTCAATCCATCAATTAGTGTTGTTTGTGTACATGCTTTTTTCCAACATGTTTACTACTTATCAGGTTTATAATAAAATGTCTAAAAGGTCTCTGTCTAAATGTCTGATTATCATTAAATAACACAACAATTTCTTATTCATTAGGAAGTGTGTGCATTTCAAATAAAGCATGTGGCATTAAGTACACAGTCCACCCTTACAAATTAGCTTTGTTCTGTTCTGCCTATCACAGACTCAAAATGTCAATTGACAAAAGTTGCTCATCAAAAGTTGGGGTTTTTGTCTTTCAGAGGTTTTGACTATACCTGTTTTGGCAATCATGGGATAATTTGCCAAAGGGCATGTCATTAGCATAAATTTTATTTTTATGTAATTTTCAAACATTAGTTATTGGCATCAATGATTAGATAGTAGGATATATGCAACTAGGTATTCATTTCTCTTGAATAATAGGTGAAATTGCTTCACTCTTTGGCCAGAATCCTGCGTGCAGATGATTCTTTTAAATACTCAAACAATGGAGATTCTCAGTTCATGTTGTCTACCTACATGTGTAAGCTGAAGCTAATGAATTCTAAAGTGGTCATTGATATTAGCTAGCGTCCTTTCGTACCAGACATGCTGCTTGGAACAACTTTTAATACTGCTAACCAAAGTCTTTGAATTTTTTCTCTGTGAATGCTCGGAGTGGGGAATTATTTCGAATCTTCAAATACTGTTCCCCTTTCATTGATACTGCAACACGCATTTGCTCAAGTAATGCAGTGAAGTATATCTGTATGTACAGTCGGCAGAAAAAAAAGATATCACCCTGAATAACGTTTCAATGATCGGATTTTCATGAACTAAGTGTGAATCTTAATGGTTCCTGGGGGTGACCTCAAATATGCTAATTAATAAGTGCCAACTATTAATTAAGTTACAAAATGAGACACAAAAACATACTTTCTCTGAATAAAGTTTTTTTTTTACATATTTGGGATCCTGACTCTTAATATAGAAGATAAAATTTCGAAAAAATTGGGTCGCAATAAAGATCTATATATACGGCGAAAGTTAATAATGCCAAATTATCTTTCCATAGAAAATGAAACATTTGAAAACAACCATAAAGAAACTGAAGGAATGACAACCAAGCGGAGCAAGCAACCAAGTGGAGATTTTTTGGATCTACTTTCAAAGAAAACAGAGCTTTTTTAAAAATTCTTTTAAAATAAAATTTGAATGGATTAATAAATGATTTATGATTTTCCAAGATTTTAAAATCTGAACGTTGAACTTATTATCTGAAATTTTTTAAAACTTTTTTTAAAGCAGTTTTAACATTATTTGTGTGAAAATTTTGTACTAAAACCAAATTTACATAAGTTCTTATAAATTTATGAAAAGTTGTAGTGCTAATTGCTTTTACACCTCAGTACGAGTCTCCTAGGTAAGGGCAAGAAAAGAAAAACATCCAGGATAAAATTTGGAGGACCACATAAAGATAACGATTCTGATGCACATTCGGAAGGTTTTATAAAATTTACAGTATTTCTTTTCGATAAAATTGAAAAAACTTTTTAAGTGGCATTTTAAAGACATTTTGATATATATATAATATATATATTNGCATTTTAAAACCGTTTAGATATATACATAAAAGTAAATTTTACTGGTATTTTTATTATTATTATTAAAAGTTATTTCATTCTGACAAATATTTAGGTTACATGATTTTCTTGAATAAGCATGATTTGCAAATAGCATTCCTTTGTTTCTATACATTCTAAAACTGACTTTTGCAAACATGTTCTCTTTCACTAAGCTCTTTGAATGTGATCAGTTACTCATTTATCCCCAAATATGGCAACTAAAGTTTCTTTTATTCCTTTATTTAAAAACTCATTTTACGATTCTCACCACTACCAACATCTGATTCGATAGCCTCAATTTAAGTAGAGCTCGCAAGGTCCTTAAGGTTCTCTTCATTCTTTCCTTTTTTTCGTTGGTCGTACTCTTTACAGTAGCTTACCTAGTCGGATGCCGGAGAGCAAATATGTAGTTAATAGTATCAACCAGTTTATCAAGTTTTTAATTAACTGTTTGAAAGTTTTGGAGATGAATAAATTTTGATTTATACTCTCAATTTAGTCTTTAATCTTAGTTATGTTTTCCACCACTCTACTTTTTCCCGTTAAAGGAAAAAACTTTTGATGTACTCGATTTTTGAGGATTTTATTGTCCATGTGGTTTTGTCTATAGCATTTCCCGAGTTAGGGGTTTCCACATAGTTCTTAAAAATTTAAAATAATATTATTACACAAATTCTGAAGCGCACTTTTGAACAATCACTTTAGCAGCGACAATTTTATCTTAAATCCGCAATTTTTCCAAAATGTGAAATTTGTGCACGATTCTTCGTTTTAATAATCTTTTTATGCGAAACGTGAGAAAATATCTGTAAGCCTTTTCTTTGAGCTGCAGTGAAATGATGGATTTCATTTATGTGATATCCAATTTCCTTTCTATTATAGCGGAAATCAGATTCAAATTGAACAAAAAAAAGTTGGGTAAAAGTGATTAACTAAGGGAATTTAATGAAAAACCAGAGAATTCTTATCCCTGCATACTTTTTTAACAACTCGAAAAAGGTAAAAAAAAAATTATTTTGAAGAGTTTTGTTAATTTTGATTGTTAAAAAGTATCTGGAAAAGAGACCCTTTTGTTAAATGGATGTATAGATATGGGACTTTGCCTTGTGGCAGAATTTTTTTGGGCTTTCTGCAACAAACCTCTCTAATACTAATATCTTTCTGCAAGATACTTTTGAAAATAACAAATATACATGGCACTAATTTAAAGTAATAGAAGCAACAACTACAAAGAAAAAAAAACTTTTTTAATTGAATATGTAATATTTTTTTTATTCTAATATGTCAATATTCTACATTATGTAGGGGGAAAAGACACTAATTAGTTTTTTTTTTCGTCTTTTGTAAATCATCATAACATTAAAAAAAAATTATGAAATCTGTAACAGTAACTACCGAAAAAAAGAGCGACAGCAATTTCTCGAACTCTTCAAAAAGAGGTTACTAAATATGCGTGTTTTCATTTTGAGATACAGTTGTTGTAATAAATAATACAGTATTAAAAATATTTGATTTTAAAAGCTATGTGTAAATCAATAGTAATAATTGCATAAAAAAGAGAACTAAAATTTCTGCAGAAAAGAAAAACTTTTTACTTCATTACACTTTATTTTTTATTATTCCCAAATGAGAACCGAAAAATCACAATAATTTTTTGTCACTCCCATGAGCAAGAAAAGTATCTATGGAATATAATACTGAAGAAAAGAAAAAATCTTTTGAAAATTTCTGCAGAAAAGAAAAATTTTTTTACTTCCCAAAGGAAAAAACTTTTTGCAAGAACTCTTTAACTTTCTGCTACAATGTCGCCACGATTCCGCCACAGGGGGACTTTGTACTTGTAAATCATGTGTTAATGGGTGGATATCTCGCTTCGGATGCCCAATTACCATTACTATTGATCAAGTGCAAAATTTTGAATCCTAACTATTCTGAGAACTTACTTACTAGCATTCTTGGAACACATAAAATTCATAGTAATAATTACCATAATTCAATTTCAAATGGAATCATTAGTTATCTAATTTCAAATGGAATTATTAGTTATCATCCAATTTCAAATGGAATCATAGAAAGATTCCATTGTCATTTGAAAAGACATGGCACATAATACACCGAAATGCTCGGAAATTTTAGCCGTTGTGTTGCTTGGTATAAGTTTAGCCATTAAGTCTGATATCTATGCTTCTCCCTCTGAACTCTCGTACGGCAACACACTTAGACTGTCATCAGACATTTTGAACTGTGCTAACACTCTAACATCACCAACAGAAGATTATGTAGCACAACTCAAGCACAGAATGAATACTGTAAGTCCTGTTTCACCAATTCATCAAGGCAAACATCCTGTTTATGTACATAAATCTTTACAAACTTGTTCTTGTGTATTTTTACGAATTTATAGTGTAAAACCAGCTTCAAATCCTCCACATACAGGACCTCATTTGGTAATATAATGTTAAGATAAAACATATGTCTCATAGAACTTAATGGTAAATGTACTGCTGTCTCAATTGATAGAGTTAAACCTGCTTTTCAAATTTCAGACAGTATAAGATCATATCATTCACCTTCAGGATTTTAATTCATTACCACATGCAAATAAAAAATCTTGTTACTATCATCAGATCAGGCCAGTGTGTGCATTTTCCTAAAAGATTTGTAACAGAATATTTTATATAATTGTATATTGCATTTACATTGTCTGTAAGCAGTTCACCTAAAAAATTATAGGCACCTTATAATTTTGTATAAAACAGAGTCCTAAATTTAATGAAGAATATCCACAATAAAAATATTTGGGATCATTACAAGATACAAACCTTTGCCAGTTTCTGCCACTGTGGAGCTAGTTGTTGACAAGGTCCACACCACGGAGCATAGAAATCTATGACCCAGATTTCATTCATCCTCTTTGAACGCACTAGATCATTAAACAGTTGGGGAGAAAGAGACACAATGGATGGATGTAAGATATCCTATTTAATAAAAAGTTCGATGCAACATTTTCATAAAAATTTAAATATGAATCTTTACTATAAAATAACATAAGAAAATTGAGTAGATTATTTCATTAAATATTCAGGGATTTCATACCTTTTTTTATAGTAGCAAAGTCCTTTTTTCACTAATTCCTAATAAGTTATTAATGCTCATTACTGAGCTTATAAGTTTCAATCAGAAAGAGTGTCAAAGAATCTTTTTTATAAATAAACAAGAACTATCAAATCCGGGTGCTAGGTTGACCAGGTGGCTATTTTCCGTAATGTCGACTCCCAGGCACCTCCACTTGTCGCGGTTTTATTAGACAATTGTTTCATTGCCTTATCTAGTAACCCTCACTGACAGGCAATACAGCACTCGCAAAAATAGTAAACAAATCTTCGCGCTCATGGATATTTTTATAGCTTGCTTTATGAGTTAAGTGAAGATTTTATCCTCGTTTAAGACTAGAAAAATTCAAGTAACGAGAAAAAATACTTCGTCTTTCAATAAAGAAAGAGGAAGAAAAATTTGCCAAAATATCATATAATGACATTACATACACACAATTATTACAGTTAATTATACAATTATTTCGCTCTAAATAAGTTTTCAAATAGAAACTATTCCTGTAAATTAAATAAAAATGCGGAAAAATAAAATATTTATATCTTTAGAATAATCAATTTCTTTTGAACATCTTAATTAATAAACTAAGTTAAAACAATAATCTCCTATATAAATCATCACATTATGAAGTGTTCATGTTTTTAAAGAAAAAGTATCACAAATGTTTTTCAACGTAGTTTGAAAAACAATTCTTCTCATTTCCTTCACTTTTACCAGAAGTTTTTTATTTCCATTTTAGAAAAAATATGCACCTTTCTTCAAAATGCTCACAATATCTTGAAAAAAAATTACATATCTTTTATACTGAACAACTTTTGATTGAAAATATTTTCTTTATAAGAGAGTTCTTAAAAAATTAGAAAAAATTTTCCATTAAATTTGATTAAATATTTTACAGAAAATGTGTGCTATTACGAAAACAAGAGGAAAAAATAATTTTTCATAAAGCTATGACATAAAGAAACAAATGTATGACATATTCACTACCATTTTCGTATAGTTAATTAATTTTTTTATAACATCAAATCATAGTTTTTAAAACTTAAAATTGTGGCTGCTAAACTTTTTTTTTAATGTATCCTAAATTTGTCATGGAAAATTCCGCTTTTGAACCCTGTTATTTATGTATATCTGAAATTATTCACCTGCTTTTTATTTGTTTCCTAATTAAATTTATCATATATTTTGTTATATACTTATCCTTTCATGTTATGCTTCATTAATTTCATAACTTATCTATCTTGTAACTTTTTACTCATAATTTTATAACAACTTTAGCTTATTCGATTCTGTAACTCAACAATTGGTCTAATTATTTTAAATTTTATTAATTCAATTTATACGCTTCTAAATAAGATATGAAAAAAAAATACTATGAAAATTATTAAATTTATTGTCACTTTAAAATGAGGCCTTTTTTTCCCCCTCAGTACAAAAACACATTTACTAACTTAAGGTAACGTAATTTAACACAGTTCATCCATTTTAACAAGAACGATTCAGAGAAAAGCAGGATCAAAAAGAGTGAGATGTATGTTTTAATTTATATTCTGCTTCAAAATTGAGACATAGAAAACTTTTTTGTTATTATTTTTGAAGTATTTATTAGTTTTTAAAATTTCAAAAGAATTAAGTTGCTAGAATCATATAATAGTTTCATTTGTAACAACTTGTTTTTTGTTTTTTTGTTTACATAATAGCTTTTATTGTTTGTAATTCGCTTCAAAAGTTCAAACATTTATTATTAGATTGTTATGCATTCTATGCATATGAAAACTGTGACATATTTTATTTTATCTGTGCCTTGTAGAATGGTAATAATTGTTTCTTACTTGGTAATAAAAATCTTACTTTTGCTGTGATAACTGATCGTTAGAGTTTTGTTTTATTATCATAACATTGATTAATTGTTTTAGAGGACAGTAAGTTCTCAGCCTTTCAATTGCTTTAAAACTACTTTCTTTATTTAAAGTAAATTGTTAAATTTAAAAATTGTTAAGATTCTCTTATTTGACTCAATATCTTGTCATATATAAAGTCTTTACTGAATTAGGAATAAATAAACAGATGGTCATTATATTGTTATATAGTTGATATGAGAATGTCAAAGTTGATGCTTATTGTTTAAATTATACAAATGTTATATTTTTTATTTTACAAATCATAAAAAGTTTTCTTCAATCAAAATTGTGTTCACCTCATAAATATACTTTACAATTTTAATGTTTGGTGACCAAAGCTGTGAAATTGGCTAATACGCATAAAGGAATTTATCATTTGGGGCATAATATTTACAAAAAAGTGTCAAAACAAAGTACGATTGTTTGGATACAAATACTTTTGGCACAAAAACTGGGAATGGGAATCATTACATCAAATTTAATCATAGATATCAGTGTCAAAAAAGTAAAAAAGAATAAACAAATGAGAGAGTTGACAAATCGGAAACTCACGACCAGGTGACTATCTTTTCCAGTATATTATACTATTATTATTTGTTACAAGCAGGAGGATTTCTTATAATGTAAATAAAAAATTAAATATTTGACTACTTTACTGCATAAAGAGAATTACCAATATGACCCATATCACTAAAAAAATAGTCATGTATGCCTTTGATTAGCTAGTTTTTTATTTTGCAAAAAAATATCATAAAGTCACAATAATTTTACAACTTTTGTCAGTCCTTGTTAATAAATTGTTTAAAATTAAAAAAAAAATGCTTGTTTTTAGAAAATTTGTAATTTTTTTGGGATTTTTAAATTTTTTTTCAAATTATTAAGATCTGTTTAAGAAATAAATTAATTATAATGGTTAATTAAGTAAAATTAGAAAGCTTGTTAAAGAGAAACCTGACTATTTAAAAATAGATCAATCAGAATTTTCCAAAATTTTTTCTTTTTAAAGATTATTTTTTGTATTTATTTTGCAAATGACCAGTTGAAAGACTTGGAAAATCATTGCAAGCTACCGATGAACTGTCGAGAATTGTCCATTTTTTCTCTTTAATTTTACTCCAACATGAACTAGCATTCAGTTCAAAAAAGAATGTTATCCCTTTCTCAGCTGCACCTGTCCAAAGGCTCGAAATTTCGGAGCATTTTGGACAAATAGTTGCTCTGTAAATAACTAGAGTCAGATGGTAGCCCAACTAGCTTCTTATTTTCTCTTTATTTACTTACCTTTGCACAAAACTTTATAACCTAAAACTTTCTGCTTTGATTTTGTTGCTAGTCAATTGTGTCTGTTTCAGCTTTCACACTTGTAGAAGAAAACAAATTAACTTCAATAAAATAACTAATTTACTTCAATAAGATATGGGAAAAGGTTATTAAAGATGCATCAAAATTTTCAGTAAGATTATTCTTTTAATTTATTAAATATCAGTAATAGACCTTGAATTAATTACATAGTTTGTTTGCATGTATTTCTCATCAATTGATTTGGTAGGAAAGAGTGCAATAAAAGAAAGACGATCATGCTATTTTTAATGTTTTGATTATTTATTATTCAGGTAAATGTTATGTTTTTATTTTATTTTCTGCTCTTATTTAAAAATTACACATTTAACTATTAATTTTTTTTAATATAAAAAAGCAATGTATAAATTTTAGTTTCATGATATGATTCAATAACTAAAATCAAAGTGAAGCTTAATAAATATATTAAGCTTAATTTTAAAAATTAAGCTACGATGAATAATAATTTTAAAATAACATAAATCTGCTCTAAATTCCTCACCAAAAAAATATTTTTGACCAGTAAGATATATTAAGGAAAAAATTTTCTTGGAGTGTTATACAGAGATTTTGGAATAAAAATATTTCAAAAAAGATAAGAAATTCACTATGATGCACAGAATGAATAAATGAGTAAAAAACAATTTAACTTCAGGTTATATTATAACACCTTTTGTTAAAATTTTAATATTTTTTCACATTTTTTTTTATGTTAGAAATATATTTTAATAAAATTTTTTAATTCAAGGAACATTTTAAAGTCATTGAGTATCACCAACTTAAAAAATAAATAAATAAATGGCAGACAGTTTTTTTTATTCAGTTAGAGCTATATTAAGGCCTTATTTGAATAATGGAAGTAAACCAACTTTATTTTTGTTCATTTTGAATTACAAAGGCTTAAAGGTCTAATGAGCATATTGTTTTTCATTATAGTTGAACTTCTAGATTGTTTATTATAATTTTTAGCACTAAAAATAAACTACAGTTTTACTTTAAAAATATAACAAAAATGAATAATATTAGGGGTGCAAAACTTGCGCCCCACGACAGCATCTGAACATAATAAAAAAAACTATCAGAATTTTATTCCTTTATGAAAAGTAAAAAAAGATCAAAAATTTTGAATCGCCCATTAAAGTCACCACTTTTAAAAGCGCTCAAACTTCACAGATTTTATTGTAATTCTGTAGTTTTTTCGATATTGCAATATGTACTGACAGTGCTGTGGTCAAAATATACAATAAACCACAAAATATAAAATTTCATAATTTATACATTATATTGTATATTTCATTTCAATAAAAAAATGTAACACCTCAATACATTGAAAAATGGTTGTAAAGACAAAAGAAAGGTATCATATAACAGAGAAACAAAAATATTTGAGAAAATAATAAAATTTAGTCTCACTTAGTCAACACAAAAAATAATTTTTATTTGAATTCTGCAATTTGGAAGTCAATAGCAGGCACTTCTGATAAAAATCCCTGATTACATTTTGTTTAACTCTATATCCCTGTTTAATTTAATTTTATACTTCTTAAATCTATGATGCAAAAATAACAAGAAAGAAATTTTTAAAGAAAAAGGGATGTATCTCGAGTCAAGTAAATTAAAATAAAATGCTATTTTTCAGCATACATTTAAAAATACTGAAGAGATAAAATCATAATAAATACTCCCACTTCATTAATAAATCATAATTATTAAAGATTAACTTGCGACTAATAATAATATGCTAGGCAAATTAAATAAAGAGTTAACTTAATTTGTCTGAGATTCTTCCAGAATTGGTAATAAGAATAAATGCAAATAAGGATTAATAAATTCATTAGAATATCTGCAATTCAGAGATATTCTGCATCACAGATACTAATTCATAAAAAAAATCTTTTAAAAATAGTTAATCATCTCACAAAAGAAACTAATATTATGAATTCAAGAGTAATTAAAATCTTATTTTCTCAACTAAATAAAATTATATTTCTAAAAATAAAATATGCTAAGTATAACATCTGGATAAGATTGTTCTTTTAGTGATATTTTTTTCTAATTTCTTTTTTTTATATTGATTAAAATATAATAGAAATTTTGTTAAAAAGAAAGCAAATGAAAAAAGATCTGACCTGTAAGCACACAGAAAAAATCAAAACACAAATATTACAGAGATTAAAAGATTAAAAATTTATTAGAAATTCATGCCTTTACTAAATAAGAGAGCTTAGAGTAAAAGTGTTCATGAGAGTGAAAACAAGACAGCAAAAACATATAGGGAAAAAAAGGAAAGTGAATGTTATGTAGATATCTTCTATTATATTTAAATGTGAACATAAAGTAACTTGAGATAAAATTATAAGAATAAAAAAATGCAATATATCTGTCCATTTATTAAAAAAAATAAGTAAAATTTGGAATAGATATCAAGGGTCATAATAAAATAAAAATTTTATTTAAAGCTTTTTTCATAGAAAATTTGTGTTTTTAATATATAAATATATATTATATAAGTTATATGAGTGGTTACTAAATTTATTATGATAAACTATGCCAGCAGAGTAGTTAATTGATAAACAATTTTTAGCTGTCCTCTTAAACATGCTCCTAAAATTTTTATTCATATACTTTATTTATTGTATTAGTAAAAATAGCTAAAAAACAAAATCCAATTCAGATAACGAGTTCTTTATTCAAAATTAACAAATATGGATGGGTGGCCTAATGTAAACAATAACAAGCGTCCTTAAACCGGAAGAAATTTAGAAAATTTCCGGTGTATCCCTCCGCTTATGTTATGACTACGAGGCGATGTGTGAACAAGCCTAATATTCTATGCAGTTTTGTAATTGTAATTTGGGTTCAAATCTAAACATAATTGTACCATTCATAAGAGCTTTCAGAAATGTATTGATTCTCAGAGGTCGTAAGGCCAAAAAAATTTTTGGAAAGTTAATATCTCATTGTGAATAATTCTTAAGGTTTGCCATGTTTTGTATTTTATCCCTTATTTGGCTACATTTGAATAAAATGTCACCAAAAATATCTTTTTAAGTTAGCCAAATTAGAAAATATTCTAATGATTATAATATTAATATGATAATGCTGAAGTTTAAAGGCTGAAAGAAAGAACTCGGTACACGTGAAATACTGCAAAAGATATGATGCAATAATATGATGGCGCGTTTTTCAATCTGCGGCGTAAAAATATATCGGAAGCAGTAACCCGGAAGTCTTGCGAGAGCAATTTAACCACTAGCGCCACCACCCTTAGCTTTACACGATCACCCATCCATATACAAGTTTGTAAATTATTTAAAAGCAGGAAATATAAAAGAGCGACTTACTTCTATAAACTCTAGAATGTGACTATGAGAATGTAATCCACTGTATCCGTGAGGAATTGAATTATTGTAAAGAATCGTAGTTGGATATGAATTGATATTATACTAAAAGGAAAAGATAAATTAGTGAGCAACCAAATATACTTTTAAAACTTAATTCTTAATAAGATGAAAATTATTTTATTTCCAATTGAATGTTTTTTAGTCTTATAATAGAGATTAATACTTGCATTTAAGAATAAACTATTTGAAAGTGTGAAAGACAGGTGTAAAGATATTAAAAAACTACAGTAAAAAATCCATTTTTGAAATCATGTACAGTGCTTCTCATTTTCTTAATTCAGAGATAAAAGTAATCAGTTGCTTATTACCTTTAAAAAACAAAATCATTTGTATGTAATAACATAGAAATTTTTTGGTTATTAGACTCAAAAGACTACTTGATATTCAAGAAATAACAATGCAATCACTAACAAAAGTTTACTAAAAGTGGAATAGAGCCCTTGAAATAGATGATCAAAAGTACCAAACGATAATGTTTTGTACTTGTTTTCTAAGAAATCGTGGTCTTTGGTGCTATAAAACAACACCAGGTTCTAATTCCCATTCACTTAAAGGACTAATTATTTTTCATCGCACTAGGGCATAGATTTCTTCCATGAATGTCTTCCAGGGGAATATTGAGACTTTTTAGAAGATCAGTAATAATTTACAGAAGAAGTGTTTAATTAATATTAAGAACACTTGAAATTAATAATTATATTTTTTTTGTATCAAAATTAATTCACATAATTAATTCTGCATACAAGCAATTAATGCAGCAGCTATAAGATAAAAGATTAAAAATCTACCTTATAGTGAAAATATTTTACTTGCTAATCCACTAACAAAAATAATAAAAATAAGGCTAGGTTGTTTGTGGCAATTATTTTTTCTTTTCACTTTTAAAATTTAAACCACAGTAAACTCTCACAATTTGCAGTGACATTATGAATAAATATGTTTATAAAGATTAAATGTTAATATTTATACTGTTTTGGTATTTACTATAATTATACAAAGCAAAAGTTTTGCATACCCAAAGACAATTTATTTTCTTACAAAATAATCCTTAATACATGTTTATATTTGTTTTTGCTGATGTATTTCAAAAACAGTTTTTCCCAGTTCATATAAATGGGATAAGAGAGTTTCAGCAGCAGAATTAAATTGTAAATAGTCACGAATAGTGTCTAAAGCTTCTAATACTGCTGTGTGATTTGGAGGAACTTCATCATCCTCCACATTCTCATCGTCCATTTCATTAGTGATGTCATCAATGTCTTTTAATTCCGTTGTTAGTAGATTATCATCAAAGACAATAAATTCGCTAAAAGAAACAAGACCATTAGATACAACTTTCTATTTGCTACCACTAAGATCGATATCCCAATCTTCTTAAACTTCTTTAATTTAATCCAGAAATTCATTTTCCTCTGAAAATAGAAATCCAACTTTTTTGTAGCAATTCCTTATGCTGGATTGTCCACTGCTTCTCCATGCAGCACATACCATATTCATAGCATCAAGAATTTAAATTTTTACGTCGACTGCTGCTGATTTGCCTGTTTCCAGTTCTGCAAGATATCAACGAATCAATGTTTTTCTGTAATGCACTTTTAAGGAACAGATAATGTCTAAATCCAAAGGTTGTAACTTGCTCCTGCAGTATGCAGGAAAAAACACTACTTTGATATGTTCAAAAACTGCCAAGTCTCGTGAATGGGCTGGACATTGATCCATAAAAAGGAGGACTGTTATCTTTCTCCATTTTCTTCTCAAATGACTGAAGAAAGGTTAGAAAACATTTAAGTCATCCAGGCTGTTCTATTGCTTGCTACTCACAGGGAAGTCGCTTTATTTTTTTAAAACAGCAAGACTTTTTTGACTTGCCACTAATAAAAGGGGAGTGTTTTTTTATCCATCTGCATTACAACATAATAAAACCATTAATCTTTCTTTACTGTTTCCAAATTTATATTATTTTTCTAAATTATTACCAAACTTAACTAAATTTATTGGTTTTTCTGAAATTAACAGTATAACTGAATTATAGTAATATATGGTGCCATATTGGAATTTCCGAAAGAGATTTGAACTTCGGCAAATTCCGAAATACGGAATTTCGTTGGTTTCATGAGTGCCGGATTTGGGGTTTTATTACTTCCTTATCTGTTTGTTCCAATTACAATTGCCAAGGAGCAAAGTGGATTTCCAGCTTGCGATCTTTCTTTAAGTTGAGGGTGGATGTAAGATGCATACGTTTTAAATTGGTCTCCTTATGCGATGTTTTGTTAATTATTATTTTGTTTATTTTCTTGCAGGGTGCTGCAGAAAGTTTGCTGAGAGTTGGTGATTGTTCTGTAGCAGATCGCGGTTGAGGCACATATTTTGTAGACTTTATTATAAATTTTTTTGCTACTAAAATTTTTTATCGTCGGGAGTGCCAATTGAAGGAAAAAAAGACTTTTTTTCAATAGAGCTGCATGCTTTCGGAAAAAAAACATGGTATATATATATAACCAAATATTTAAGCCTTGCAAATAAATTTCATTTTTTAAAAAATTTTATTCTTAATTAAACTAGATACAGGGCACCTGCTACAGTTTAGATTTATAATTCCAAGAATTTTTTCATGACTTAAAGAAGTTACAAATTTCTCCAACAAAAAAACAACAATAAATTTAAAAAAGTATAATAATAACATAATTGAAATGATAGGTATTAATAGGTAATACTGTTATACTCTGCATCTTCATACTTAAAAATGTTAAATTTAAAAAACAGAGTAAAGAAAGAGTTCAAGCAATAAAATAGCTGAAAAAAATACAAAAGCAAATAAATTTTTTTAATTTTTTTTAGCAGTATTATAATCTATAGATACTTTTCTTTTTCATTGGAAAGGAAAGAAATAATCTGATTTTTCTGTTCTCATTTTGGAATTAAAAAAATTCGCCTATGACTGGCTTGCTTCAGCTAGAATTTTTAATTGATAGTATAAAAAAATTAAATAGCAAAAATTCTGAAATCACAGAAGTTTAAAAGATAATTTGCTCTAGAAATGATGACTTTTCTTTCATTTTATGAAAGAACACCATAATTTTTGAAGAACATGATAAAAACATTTTATATTTTAATAAAATATGAATGTGAGTGGGGATTTTGTTTCTAATTCAGATATACGAAACAAAATGAAATTGGGGGAAATGAATTGGGGGATTCAGATAAAAAAATGAACAATATTTTTCTCTATTTTATGAATGTTTTTTTACAGCAAACAAGACAAAAATAAATTGCAGCTAACCTTGTATATCTTTTTTTCACACACCGGCCAGGTGGCCGAGTGGTTAACATGTCTGACTGCGAAGTCAATAGCTGCGGGTTCAAATCCCGCTCTGGGCATGGATGTTTCTCTCTCTCTGTAATCTTTAGATGTGTGAATGTGGCCCACCCTATGAACAGGTATTTGTGGCAGTGTGGCGTGGGTAATGTTGCTCGCCTTCGTGACTATGGTTCACAGGAGCCAACTGGGTAACAATTAATGAGCAACACTTCCGTCATCCTCTAAGGCGAATTCAGTGCCTGCTGTTATTGAAAAAAAATAATCTTTTTCCACACTAATCACCAAGTTAAATCACTGATATAAACCACTTTATTTTTCTGAAAGCCACTCATTTCTGTTGTTTTTCCTTTCACCATTATATTTTCTCAATAAATTTATTTTCTTTGAAAAAAAAAAGTTATTGTAAATTAACTGTGGCTAGCATTTCAAAACGATGGGGGAAAGTGTAAATTAAATCAGATTTATATTCAATAATAGTACAAGTTTTGTTTACACCAGCAAATGTTAAAGTTCAATCAATCCTATTCCTTCATTGGGGTGAGACATTTGATAATTTACAATAAATGTAAAATAACGCTTTCATTAAAATTTATTTTAGTTTTTTACTTTTAACAGAAAATATCTTTCATATTTTTAAGAAGATAAAAGAAAATTTAATTTAAAAAACAATTGGGAAAGAAATAATTGATGGAATTTAGACCACTGATTTTTTCTCAAGACTGTTTTCAGTCCCCAGGACTAAAGAGTGGCACCCATACCTCAGTGAAATGAAGAATGGAAGTGTTTTGATATCAAGCGACTCCATTTTTCTTATTTAGAGTAAGAAATGATGAGTCATCTACATTTCACATATGAAATCATTGCGGTTAGAAACATTGAAATGTAGAAATCTTAAGATAACCTTATTTTGATTTAATACAATTGTTATTGCAATAAATATGTTTCAATTTTTAAGTTTTAAAATCTTTTATGCTTTCAGTCACCATAAAGTTCTTTGTACTACTTATGTTAACATTTCGAAAATTGTTAAAATTTTTCATGAATGCAAAATAGTAGCAAGCAAAACTTTTTGCCTGGCTCGCATCTTTAGAACTAAAATTTCATACCCTGATACATAAATGTAGCAGATAGATGATAAAAACAGAGATTTGATTAAATCCTTCAGATAGATTATCACTTCAAGGAAGATGTTAAAATACATACAATTAAAGTCAATTGATGAAGCTTACCATGCGGCAAAGATTAACGTGAGTTGAACAGTCTACAGTTCCAAACTTTACACTGTGATGAATGGATTGTGAAGCTTTTCTCCAATGTGGCAATAATTCCATGCAAGGAGGACACCACTATAATAATATTTAAACTATTAAGACAAGTATGCATAAATATCAGTGACCGCAAAAGTATCTCAAGCGAAAGAGGGTTCCCCTCCTTTGTATGTATATCTATAATATGCCTTTAAAAAGACTAGAGTTCCAAGAAATTGGCTAAATCAAATAAATATGCATTTTATTAATTTAGATAACAGTTTAAATTGAATATTTCCATACATTAGAATGATGGTTTCCCATAGTTGGACTGTTGGGATTTAGCTTCGATTTATCTAGCCATGAAAATATGAAAAAGCCACGTATTTTTGACAGCTCCAGCTATTTAACCACGGATTCTGAAAAGTAATTGGTTGAAAGAATGTCCTTAACTTAATCAAACTTCATTCAAATGGAAAAATTTACAGATTTTGATTTGTTCAATAACATGAAGCGTTCAGATATGAAAGGGAGTTTGGGGTATTTTCTTAATAAGTATATTACTAAGAGTTATTACCCATGAACTTCAGAAAATAATCTTTAGTTGGCATCTTGACTTTTTATGGTTCTTAGTAAAAGAATGATATTTAAGTCTTAAAATTAATAAGAGAATCTACTTTCATCCATGAATTCATATAGAAAGACTCGTATGAGACATTCACTTATATATATATATATATACTGTGCCGTAACTTCACTCCTTGGGGCCCTGGGGCAAAAGTGTTTGGACGGGGCCCTTTCAAAAACTGTCTGTACTCCATCTCTAACTGTCATTTTGGATATTTATGTATCATGCTAGAGAATGTATTTATGAAAACAAGCTACTTGTTCACATATAAATTGGATTACAAAATATTGTAAGCTTTAAACACGGCAAAATACAACATTTGAGCGAAATCAGTTAATCCTGAGAAATTAAATTTTAAAAAACTTGTACATATAAAACTTGATTTCTCAGCAACTATTTAAGCCAATTTCTCTCAAATTTTGTATTTTTCCATGTGGAATTAGATACTTTAAAAATGATACAAAAAACTTTATACTTTACAATTTAAAATTTTTCAGACTATTGAAATGAAAAATGATAAGTGTTAACTAAAAGTTATTTTTTGCATGGATTACAGAGTAACGTCCCATATCCGGACGTCCCTTCTCCGGAAGAGTCTATTTCCAGGACACCTTTTAACAATCAAAATAAACAAACATCTCTTCATCTTCCCCTCTCTTAAAAAAAAAAATCTTTTGACACGTTTTTTCTGTTTCTAGCTTCTAATGATTTATGCATTGAACCTATAAATGAACAGAAAGGGGAAGAAAAGATCTACCAAGACCGTATAGTGACGCTCCTCCTCTTGAATGCAGGAAAGGGGAGAGATTTGTTTTCAAAAGAGCAAAACTGAGTCCCCTCCCTCCTTCTTTCCTATGCAGCTGGCTATTAAAAGAGGCATTACCTGGAACCTTTTTATTAGAGTGTTAGGAAAGAAATACTGTGAAAAGGGGTAAACGCAGCAAACGTAAACGTGGAGGGGGAGTCACTCTCAGTCACACAAGAAAAAATTAAGAGAACCCAATCAGCATGCTGCGCCTTTATGCTTGATTGATAGCCAATGATGGGAGAGAAAATAAGAATTTTTCACTTCCCCGCCCTCAACTTAAATGACAAATAAGGAGGAAATGAATTTTTCTCCTCCACCTACCCACCTTAATGAATGACGGGAATTTCCCCTTTTTGCTTGAATCGTTCTAGTTCAAATGGCGGAGAGAGCAATTAATATTTTCATAACTGCCAAATTTTTTTCTATATTTTAAGCAATAATATTATTTTTACTAATATTTTATTTCCGATTGATTAGATATCATTTTAATATTAAAAGATTATTGCCCAAAAAAATGTTTATTTAATTTTTGCTTCTTAGATTTAGATCGTTTTAAGCTTTGTTTACCTTGGGGTCTATTATACGGAAAAATCTAATATCCGGACTTCCGGAAGTCCCACCGATTCCAGATACATGACTTTCCACTGTAATTGCTACGGATTTCTAAGCTGAAAAATGCAATAACTTTGAACAAAATACTTCAATGAATATCTTTAGCATTGGTTACAGAAATTTCATCTTCACGATTAGATTCATTTTTGAATGAAAACAAAGTTGTTACAAAGCATAAAAAAATTTGCAGTTCCAATTTTAAAAATTTTAAAGTAACAAAATTCCTTAACTTATCCACAAGTTTGGAAAAATATCTTTCAAGTTGCTCTTAGGAATGAACAATAAGAAATCAATTGGAGATATGGTGCATGTTTAATATATATAATTGCCGATTAAATTCTATATTGCATATAATTGTGCATGTTTGAATTATTTTGTACTTAAGCAATATTTTAGTTTATTTTTATTGTTACTAGCTGAATACTCTTTTTTCTTGCTGGTAGAAATAAAATTAAATAATCAATAAATCGGTAATATGAATTCATTCACAAAATTGAGAGATATATGCGGATATTATTAACTTTAAAAAATACCAGGTTTTTTATTTATTTATTATTTGTTTCTCTTCCTAACAGCCTTACGTTATTAGAATAAGCAAAACATGTTTTTAGAAATTCGTACTATCAGAATGAAGATTAACAATGGTCAGTATCGTTTGGCATAATTCTATTGCACGAGATCAACAATTGATAGTCAAAAATTACAGTAATCAAACAAAAACACACCTGGAAAAAACATGTTAATAACAAAATTAATCAATAAAAAAAAAAATCATGATGTGCAGACGTATGCTTGGTTTCCAACGAAAAATGATGTTTTGGATGTACATGGCAATTTTATATCCCTCGTTGAACAGCCGACCCAATTTTTGGTTTATGACTTACTAATGTTCAACTCCGTAGCTTTGTAATTTTGAGCCAATCCAGATGACAAGGAAACTCCTGGATTAGTACACCCAGAGGTATGATTTGTTATGAGAACATGGAGGACTTTGTGACTCGACAGATTTTACATGCATCAGTCACCATTTACTACATGGGGAGTCTGGCCAAAGGAGAACAGGGACATGGGCCCAGTGCCCCACCAACCAGGCTATTCCGGACACAGCAATTGTCAAGTGTATTTGCTGTACTTAAATGCTTAAGCAGAATCAATGGACAAATGATTTTTGTTATTTTAGTAATAACTTCTTGCCATGCTCTATCCAATGAAGAAAAATATACATCTAACTAATCATGTTAATAGGCATTTAGGTGAAAAATGAAATTTTTTTGCTGCTTTGGAGCAACGAAACTTATTTCTGCGCACAATTTTTAGGGAGTGAGTTATTCGAAATGAATATTATTAGAGGTTTTGAACAGCTTGGAGCAATTTTGGGGAAAAAAGACATTTTTAAGCCAGCTGGAACACAAATTTCATTTTGGAGCAGCTGTTCCAAATCTTAGGGTTAGTACCAATTGTTGGATGTCTTAGGATGGGCGAGTGTTGTTTGTGACTTTACTTTCTCCGGCCACGACTATTTTTATTATTGTCTTATGTTGGTTATAGATGCGGGGTCATGCACTGGTGTTGTAGTTAAGCTATTTAAAATATACTATTATTTACATGAATACATAAAAATAGTTTTATCCATTATCACCTTTAAAAACTGAGATGTATCAAAAGCTTGCCAACCCAGGCTATTTACTAACAGCACTATATAATGATATTTAAAGTATAAATATTTTAAATAAATTGATTTAAAATATAAACAAATTTTTAAATTTAATGTTAAATGATTTTTTTAGTTCTCAATAAAAATAAATTTATTACTAAAAGTAGGGGTGTACAACCTTTTTGAGTGAAGGGCCACATGCACAGCAGATTGACCAATGGATGGCCGCATGCCAAAATTTTGGAATTATTTTGCTTACTAATTAAAAAAACTATTAAGATACTTGTTCACAACTTTTTGCAACCAACACTTTTTTAAAATTTGCATTACTTTATGAAACTTAATTTGATTAACTTTTTTAAAATTTATTGATATACAAATCATTTCCCAGGATATGATCATAAATTATATGAAATGGTCTAAGTAGGAGGAAAATGGTTTAAAAAATTTGTTAATGGTTATCCTGTAATTTGCAACATTTTTAATTATTGTGATTATTTTATCTACTTGATCATGTGATAGCTTTTTCAAGTTATTAAATAAAAATTGTAACGATTTTGTTAAAAGACTGCTCTATAATTTTGAACATTTCAAATTCATTCCGGAAAACTGTCTTTTGACAGAAGCTGTTGTTGTGGGCAGTATTAAACTTATGGCAAATAACTTCATCAGTTTCGAAATCTGTCCCAAATGTTTTTCCTTTCCTGATTTTTAAATTGAAGTGAATACAAATAGCGATGTGATATTTTTCAATTGTTTTAATACAAATCTTTATGTGTGATTTTTAAATTTCGCAAATAAAAAACATGATGCAAGGTTTTCAAATAGCGTGACTACAAATAGAGATATTTGGCTTTTAAATTGCGAGAAGACTCACAACGTATGATTTTTAAAACACGTGAATATTAGTTGCGGTATGTGGTTTTTAAATAGCCTGAATATGCATCGCTGTGTATGATTTTTGAATAGCGAGAAGAACAACGTATGATTTTTAAACACCAGAGCATAAATTGCGATGAATGATTTTTAAATCTCGTTAATGTTAATACGAAATGCGATGTGCAATTTTAATATCACGCAAATACAAATTACGGTGCGACTTTTAAATTGCAAGAAGAATCAAAACTTATGATTTTTAAAACGCGTAAATTTGAATCGGGTTATATGATTTTGTAATCATATGACAATAAAAATAATAGTTTGAGTGTGTGTTATTAAACTTCTACATGTTCATGGGACTAAAAAAGAATTACACGTGTTTTGAGTTATTTCTTTTGCAAAAGGGTCAATTGTATAAATTTTAGGTATTTTATATAAATTAAACATCTTGTTTTTCTTTTTTAAATTCTCTTCAGGAAGTTGTCGATTTTGCTAAGATATGTAATTACCTTTTAAGTTACAAAAAAAAATTAAAACTGAATCGAGTTTCACATGTTGTAATATTGTGTTAAAATATCAGGATATTCTAAATCACAATAATGGGAGAGAAAAAAACACTTTCGAAAAATCTCTTGTATTTCTGTAAAAATCGACACAAATAGAGCGCGTAAAAAGTAATTATTTTAATACACGATTCAAAACTCGCGTGCTGTCTGACTAGTATTAAAAATATCAGAATTTTTTTTAAATCAGAGAAAAATGTAGTAATAACCACAAAAAAAACTATCAAAATCCTTTTATATTTGCAATGAAATTGAAGTAAATATAGCGCGTAAAAAAGTGATTATTAAAATGCGGGTTTCAAAATTAAAATGTCGCAATAAGGCATAAAAAAATATCGAGACTTCAAAAATCTTGTAGAAATGTGTAGCAATAATTGCCAAAACAACAATTGAAAAATAATTTGATTTGCGATAAAATCGGCACAAATAAACCACGTCAAAAAATGGCTATCTAAATTAGCGAGTCCTTACTCGAGCATCGTACTAATATAGTGTTAAAATATCGAACGATTAAAAACCATGCGGAAATGCTTAGCAGTAACTGACGGAAAGAGGATCAAATGTCATATAGATTTGCTATGAAGTTTGCGCAAATAAAGCGTTTGCAACTTTCAAAAATCGCGATTTCAGAAACTTCGTAAAAATGGGTAGCAGTAACTACTTAAAATTCATTGGATTATCGATGAAATCGGTATACTTGAAGAACGTCAAAAGTGATAATTAAAATTAGTGTATTGTAATAATGATGTATTTAAAATGTTACGATTTACAAAACTATGCTTAAATCTGTAGCGTTAGCTATAAAAATAAAAAGGTGATCGAAAGGCGATTTCAGAAACTTTGTAAAAATAGGTAGCAATAACTACTTAAGATTCATTGGATTAACGATGAAATCGGTATACTTGAAGAACGTCAAAAGTGATAATTAAAATTAGTGTATTGTAATAATGATGTATTTAAAATGTTAGGATTTACAAAACTATGCTTAAATCTGTAGCGTTAGCCATAAAAATAAAAAGGTGATCGAAAACTAAATTGATTGAGATTGGGTGCATCAAAAACTTAAATGCGTACATTTCAAATTTACGAGTTTTTTTTTTCAAAAAAAAAAAAAAATTTTAAATTTTGTTTACATTGCTGGCGCGGGCTGTACTTTAAGGGTTGGTGGGCCGCAGGTTATGCACCTCTAACTAAAAGTAATACAATGAATTATTATTGGAAATAAACAAGCATAAACTTAAAAATATTGGCTATGATTCGTACAGGAGCAAAAAAATCAATGAACCAAATGTCCTGAGATTGGGTAACACCAGGAAAGTTAGCAGGTGTGAGAGTATGCACTTGACTTAATAATACTGCTTTAGTAAACTGAACAACATCATGAACAGATATTCTTCCTGTAAAATAAATAAAGAAGGAAATTAGGTTACTAAAAAAAATCTTTATAAGTCTAGTTTTGAATTGTGTAAAAATTATGTCTGCACATATTAAGTTAGCTTTACAAGGAGATGAGTTAATAATTTAAATCAGTTCAAAATTCTAATTATGCAACATTTAAAGACTGAAGAACTAAATAAACATTTTACTTTATGTACATCTTAAAATAGCTATCACTTGAAATGCAAAAACAATTTATTTGCCAATTCAAAACTGATACTAAATACAAAGGTCAATGAAAAAAGAGATTTGCTATATTAATTAAGGAACAAATCAATAATAAAACTAGATGGAGAATAAAAGTTAAAATCCTGAAGTTAAATTTTGTATTAAAATTATGCCTTAAAAATGAAGCCAAAATTGAAGAGGATTCTTTTTAAATTGGCAATAAAATTATGAAATTTCCATGGTTAAACTGATTTAATAGTATTCAAAAATAAAATCATAAAAAATGCCCAAAATTTTCTAGTATGCAAGGAAACACATTTCATCGATAAATGTATGATCAGAATATATTATAACACACCTTAAAATTAGGTTAATTTTCATATTAAACTTCAACTAGAACATCCTATCTAAGATGTATCTCCTCAGATAAAATTCAAAATTCATTGGTAATCTGATAATGTTTTAATGTTTCTTCAGCTAGATAAATAAGACAAAAAAATATAGACCATTTGTATTAATTTCAAATTAAGATTATTAAAGCATTTTTATAATGCAATTCCAGATTATAAAAGAAAAAGTACAAAAAAGTCGAGAAAAAAACTAAAGTTATCCAATGATAAATCTTTTGCAGAAAATTCAATTGAAATAACGCATTAAAAAATTATGGAATATCTTTGAAGTGAAATTTACTTGAAAGTAGGAGTGATAGTAGACTCAAATAAAAGTTTTGAAGAACTTGTGAAATTTTCTAAAACTGTGGAAACTTAATCTATACTCCTGAAAAAACTGTAGCAATAGTCTTTTATTCAACATGCGTACAAAATAATTAAATTAAATAGTTTAAGTATTTTTAATTAAATATTCTGGCATATAATCGAACGAAAAAGTTTTACAAAAATTTATCAAAGTTATTAGAAATCCAACATTTCATTTCTACATAATAAGTATTGTTTTGTTAATAACAAAGCCAGACAAAAGCTTCTGAAACATCAACATAAGATATAAAACTTCAAAGAAAAATTAATAGTTTTTTAAATTTTAGAAAATATAAAAGTCATCTAATTCAGTAAAAAATATTAAAAGCAACAATTATTAAAAAAGTATGTTAACTTCATTTGCTTTTTGCAAAAAGACTGAAATTTTAATATTGTTTTCAGCACTACTTCCTTTTTTCAGAGTTGTCTGCAGTAGAAAATAAACAGTGATAAGCATTACAAAACTGTCACCACATAGGTAGATGATCCTAACTACTCCAGACTTGCCAACCATATCAAAATAAAAAGAAGGACTTTTTTTTGGAACTATGATATAGCATAATAGAAGAAAATTTTAAATTTATATACATGTTAAGAATATTTAATAACTTATAGGTGCCAATTAAAATTAGTTTAAAATAATAAATATATATTTAAAATATATATATTCAAATTATTTTTTAATGCTTATTACGTTAAATCCGTAACATTAAAATATATAATTTTAATTAATATAAATAAAAACACATAACTTTATTTATAAAACTAAATTTAGAATCATCATTTTCAAGAACTCTTTATTGTTTGAAAAACTTTTCTTGCGCAAACTTTTTCTTTTTTCAAAAATATATCACTAAATTTTTACTCAAAACAAGAAACTCTCTTTCCTAATTTTACAGTCAATAAGTTTTCTGAATGTTCACTTGATAACTGAGAGTGAAACAGTTTTTGTGAAAAATCAGTTCGCAGCTTGCATTGCTAATGTATGTAAGGTGAAAAGAGCATCTAACAGCTTATATTTTTTATTTAAGCAATGCCCACTTTATATCCATTCTACTTTAAAATCTTTATTCAATTTAAATTTCTTTGAACTAGACTCACAATTAACAGATGTTTTTTTTTAAAACCAGTAGATAGTAAAATTTTAGAACAACCTGCTTTAGAATAGTACTTCTGCAGAATTTTATAATCTTTCAATGCACTATTTGTGCCAGGCCTAATTTTCACTTCTTCTAGATATAGACCCCATTGCTCTAGGGATCTACTTAAAAACTGACCTAGTGAGTGCCACCTAGTTAAAGCATGTTTAAATAACTTCCTAATTTCCATTTCATGGAAGCTTTAAAATTGTTTCAGCTCTTCCTTTCTTTTAGAGTTTTTGACTGAAAAAAAAATCAATTAGGTATTCCTCTATGCATACAGCGAGCACAGCTACTCCTTTCTCTGCAGCATATGACAAAGGCAGACAATAACTTTTTTGAGAATTCGCTAGCAACCGCTATTTTTTCCCCAATCATCACAGAGGCATTGTCAGTCCCTAGAGCTTAGTAATTATCAACGTCCATATTATTTTCACTTAGAGCAGTCAATAATAAATTCGCAATATTTAATCCAGCACCTTCAGATGCTAAAACTGGTGAACACAAGAACGTTTCTACTTGTAGTAATTCATCATTATGGTAAGTCACTCAAACTGGTTATAATTTGTAGTCAGTTTTGCACTACCATTGGTAACCATCTCAACCAACAATACTTTCCCTTTCCAATTTTGCCATGTCTTTCCCTATTGCAAAAGTTTTAGTTCATGCATATCCATATTTTTGAGTAATTTTGTTTTGCATACCTTAGATTACTAGTAGGCATATTTATTTGAAAAAGAAGAAAATTAATTTTGCCATAATTTAGAAAAATTATTATTTTTTCTTTTAATATAAGTTTCTATTTATTTATTTATTGAAATTCATGGTAATTTTTAAGCAGAAAATAAGACAATATCTTTGGAAATCTCCATAATATTTTTGGAAACCGTAACTCAAAATTTTTAAAAAATTTTGCCTGACAAGCCTTTTCTTGAATATAAGCTTCACAGAGTTATTCACCACCAAGTTAAAGAATAAAGTTTGATTTAAAAAAAATAAAAAATTTGTTCATGTGAGAAAAAAAAACAGTTAACATTCTTAACATCAAACAATTACATTAGTTTAAAATAAAACATTGTTAAAGTAAAAAAAAAATTCAAATACAGTAGAGAACCAATTATCCGGGATGCTCGGGACCATCGCTATCCCGGATATCTGAATTTCACGGTTTTGTGGATCGACCAAAAAGTGTCGTTAATCGATGTTTTATCGAACCCGAAGTACAAGGAAAAAGTGTAATGCATAAAGTAAGAAAAAAAAGAAAGGTACTCCTAACCTTAAAAAGAAAAAAAAATGGTAGAAATATAACTTTTAAAAGAACAAAAAAATTTGCAAGTTTAGACAAGAAAATCAAGTTTAAAAAATACAAAATTCTCATATTTATTTTTTAAAAATAATTACAATTCCTAAATTAAATAATATAAACAAAACCAATGATTAAATAACGCAATATATTTCATACCTAATTATAGGGGGGAAACGATAAAATAAAAGGAAAACTTATTAATCTAAATAAAAACACTTGAAAATTATCGAACCGAAACGATAGTTAAAAAAGGCACTAGCATAAATATTAAAACCCGGAACAAGGCAAGATCAACGGAATTTAAAAAAAAAAAACCTAATGATAAAATTTATGAATAAAAAGAATTAATTTATTGAGTGCGAAATTTATCGCGAAAAGAAAAAAAATCAAACGTAGTGGAATCAGAAAAACAAAACTGCAATCTGCTTCATAAAATAATCCTATGTTTAAATTAATAAACAATTCTCCTTTCATTTTATTTTTTTTTTTTTTTGTTGATAAAAACAAGATTTTTAATTACAGCAGATGTGATTCCACACCAAGAAAAACTTGTAATTGATACCGCACTTCCAAAGAATAAGAATTTATTCAAAAGAAAAAGATTTTATTTTTATTAGTCGATGTCAAATAAATATATTTTTCTCTTTTCTTTTTCTGTTCACTGATATGCATGCAATGCATTTTCCCCACCCCCCTCGTAAATCAAGCAGAAAACGAAATCAGCATGCCACACCCTTGAGTTTGATTGACGGCCTAAAGGAAAAAATAAAACATTCCTCCCTTCCCTGCCTTCAAGGTCACGGAGGAAATGACGTTTCTCTGGGTAAACGGGGAAAAAAATCATCCCCTTCCTTACATTTTCCTCTACTCAACTTCAAGGATGAGTCCAATTTCCGCTTTTTTCGTCCTAGTTTAAAATCGTTCTAGTTTAAAATGGCGGGAAATTCGAGCAAAATTTTTCCCGGTTTTCTGGTTTCCCGGTTATCTGGATACCGGATAAATGGTTCTCTACTGTACTATTAAAATGCAAGTAAAAACAAATAGCAAGAAAAAAATTAATCAAGATTATAACTGCAGTAGAAAGTCTTTTATCCACAAGCATTTAAGTTTCAGTAAGTCTGGAAACAGACAATCTGAGTTGTAAGTTCTCCCAAAAGAAGATAATTTGAATAAGTTTAATAAAACTTAGACTGACTAAAAATAAAATCACTAGATTATAAAATTAGCCATTTTCTAAAATCAAATATGCAAATATAGAAACAGTAAAACAACAACGCATGCTGAAACCATCCATAAATAAAATACTTTTCACAATTTTATGATATCAAAATGAAGCTTTTGGAAAATGTTTTAAAAATGAAAAAAAAAAAAAAAAAAAAAAAAAAAAGGACAATTTTTCTTTAAAAGAAACTAAGCTGGAGGTGAGGAGAACTATTTTTGAGGAAATTGAAAAGTCAGACTAAAAAAATAAAAAACAAAGAGGAGATTATAAAAGAATATAAATGAAAACTGATTATGAACTAAGAAAAATATTGACTATTTTCTAATCATTCAATGTCAATGATCACAGGGCCAAAATAGTAGGTACTTAGAGACCTAATAATTAAAAACTAGGGACTTTTTTTGGGACCTGAATTAAACAAATCATATAATATGTCAAATAGCTTAATAATTAAAGAAACACCAAATATTTTTTTTACCCAGTTCAATTAGAAAAAATATAGATGAGTGTTGAGTTCATGCATTCTAACAAAGTTTTAATGTTTTACTAAGTTTTTAGTCAAAATTTGAGAGTATGCAATTTGTTCAATGTAGGTAATGTTTAACTTGATTCAAAATTTAAATTGATATTGGCTACATGCATAAATAAAAATATTTGAGACTTAATGATAAATTCAAAATGTATTTGAATATATCCTTTTCATTAATACCAAATAATTTTAATACCAAAAGTTACAAAACCTTTTACGAACTTTCAAAGATGTTGAGTTAATTTTATAATAATTTCAAATGCTACTTCTAATCAAACAACACTATCCCAATATATTAAAACTTTCCTGTGAATGTTTATACAAAATCTTAAATGAAATGCAAAATCTTTAAATAAAATATAGATGTAGTAATTTATTTATCTTTTAATGTACTTTCAAAAGTACATTAAAAGTAAACTTTGAAACTACCTCTTGTAATCTAATTATTGATATGCCGGGTTATAAAATCAACAATTTTATAAGATGCAAAACTTTGGAATATTCTGCAAATATAAAATAAGTGAAATATGCATGAACCTGTATCATTTTGTATTTTGGATCAAATAATGAATTTTCTTGAAGGTAATAACTCTTTAATAAATTAAATTCATTTTTAGAAAAATAGAATATCAGAAAACAAGAGTAAAATAAAATGATAAAACCCAAGGAATGACAATAATTAATAAAAAATAAAATTAAAACTTTTTAACTTTCTAAAAATATTAAACTTAGTTTGGTTTAGTCTTGTTTAATTCAAAATACAAAAATTAATTGGAAGCAATACATCACTTGTTTAGACATCAACGTTCTTCTCCTTTTGACCTCCTCAATAAGTTCAAAATGGTAGCTAACGTTTACCTCAAAGGAAGAGGAAAATTCAGACATTTATATTGAACAAAAACCAAAATATTAAAAACAATTTACCTTTCTCAATTTGGATTGAAATCAGTCAACTGTATCAAACAATCAAATCAAGATAAAAAGGTCTGATCAGTACGTAAATCAGAAGTAGTATTTAGTAAATGTTTACCATTTGTCACTAAAAAATGGCTAAAAAAAAGGACTTTTCAACAATTTATTTAATTTTTTCTTCTTAAAAAAGGAAAACATTTATTTTAGCTGCTGAAAAATATTTGAGAATTTAGGTTTTTCTTAAAATTGAGCACCCAATATTCGACCTTGAAAATTATTTTACTTACCATAAAAAAATTCATATAAACTTTCGCCTTTGAAAAGAATAAAGGTAGGATACTTCTTTATAAACAATGATGAGCATATGATTTGATATTTTGCACAATCAAAATATACTAGCCACACTTCAGGCAAAAGAGCTTTCAAACGCTTTAGTTCAATGTCCACAACTGATGATTTAATATGAGCTTTTGTAAATTGCACCAGCATAGGTTTTGATTCTTTATTTTTGAAGTCTAAAACAGTCTAAAATAAAACAAATAGTTAAACTTTACATTAAACTAAAACCATACAAAATAATGCATGTAATAATATACAGGGTAGGCATAAATATGTTAATTAATCAAAGCAGGTGAAAATTTAAAATATGAAATTAGGTATTACAAGGTACTTTCTCTGGACAAACATAAAACAAGACATATTGTATAAACTTACTGAATTTGGATAAACCAGTTTCATAATAAATAGTTCTAGAGATACAGCAAACCCAAGGAGGGCAGGGATATTGTTAGATACTGATTAATATTGATTGACATTGGGAACACTTAAGGATATCGAAGGCATTTCATTTGTGACATCCTGATTACAATATTGTACGACATTCATCGATGACCTGATTTCATAAGAAGTTATTAAATTATTCCTGTTAGTTAATTTATTTAATAAGAAGCTAATTTAGTGATAAAATTTAAGTAAAAATGCTTAAAAGACCAAAATAATTCCTGTTTGCTAAAAATACCTTTTAAGAATTATATGTAAACACCAAAAAAAATCATAAACGCTATAGCTTTTCACGGCCCATGCATAGATAGATGCTGTAATAAGGATAGCAATAGTAAGAAACGGTATGTATTTGTTGAAAAGCTTAAATGGTGTTGAATTACTTTTTGTGTTTAAAAAACTATTTTACTATTAATAACTATGAAAATAATCAAGTATTCATTCAATTATTTGAATATTTTATTCTTTAATGCTTCATATGATCATCTGAAAGTCCGTGTTGTAGGCTTAATGTGTAACAACATAGTGATATCTTGTTCAGAATTTTCAGCAGTTTTTAAAATTATTTTATTTTAAACCCTTCCCTGATTATCCCAGGTATGTATATATTGTGAATATTTATCATCCAGAGTAAACTCGGGCATAGCAGAATTTGTCAATATGTTTTGTTTTATCACGTTTTTATTCAGCCCGATGCAAAACAAAAAATAATAATAATCTGCTGTGATTGGAAGTTTGCCAATTTTTGTTTGGGAGTTTTGTTATTTGCGGCACTGCAGACGTGATTTGTACAATTCTGTATATATGGTGATTGATGGATTTACATAGAAAAAAAGGAGTAAAAAAATGGCGTTCACGAGCAAAAGAGAAAGTAATGCAAATGATTTTTCAGATTATGAAGATGTGAGCATATACAAAGACTAATATTTAATTTTAGATAATTTGGGATAGTAAACTAATGGTAAATTAAATATTTTCACATGTAAAAAAAATAATAAAATTTCAACTTAGAACTTGTGTATTATGCTTTGTTTTAGTTCCTTGTATTTATTAATGAAATTAAAAAAAAAAGGATTTTTCGCATATTTTTTTAAAAGATTGGTAAGAGAAGCGGTTAAATTAATTTTTTTTAAAATTTCGAATGCATATTTTCTATGTTAAATCATAATATTATACAAAGTTAAATAAAAAAAAAATGTGCAAAATTATTTTAAATTGCTTATAAAAAATTTATTTGTTGTATTTTTTAAAAAAAAATTTTCTTCATATAAGCTGAAATTTCTTAGATTATGTTTAGATAATTATAAAAACAAACTAGTCCAATCAAACTTTAATGCGTATTGTAAATGCTTTAACCTTTTGTTTATTAATTACAATTGAAATCACTATTCACTTAAAGCATAAATAGAAGTTCTTGATAGATGTTAATACTTTCCTTGAATTGAATGTAGGGTTTAATGACACAAGTTCCAAAAAAGGACATCAGCCAGCGCCATAAATACTTTCTTTGGCGAAGTTGCAGAATGCTTCAAATTTTATTCATGAATGCTATGAGTTTTTCACGTATCTTCAGTTATTCTTTATTTAATTACATTATTGTAATATGCTTATTATCAGGTCTTAAAGCATTTTAGACCTGACATTTCAAAGATCTTATGTTTATTAATGTTGCTTTGAATTAACAAAATTTTTTTAACTATAATCCTTTCAAACATTTAATACATAAGTTTCGTAGGCCATTCAGGATATAAGCATGTTTCAGGTAAAAACGTGCTTGGTGAGTGAGTTGATTAAGAGATAAATATGATGTAATAACAGAATTTATCTGTGATAATAATTTAGACAAAAAATGAGTATTTGTAAATTAACAATACATTTATTTATTTCTGCATGTTTATATGCAAATAAAATTTTTTTAATGATCTAACTCAGTGTTTAAGCGAACACTTTAGTTTAAAGGAGTAATAATTTAGAGAACTTAAAATAGTTAAAAAAACACACAGTTTAAAACAAAAATTTGCATAACACTTTTGCAATTTAACAAAAAAAGTCTACATAAAATGTTTCAATTTTCAGCATTACTCAGCAGAAAATTTTACCACCACAATACTGTGTATAAAACAAGTATGCAAAGTTAAGACAATTTACAACCAACAGTGAAAAACTGTCTATTCTACTGCTCTCTAAATAAATTTTTTCACATTATTTTTATTCTTTTACAGATGGTTCCATCCTGGTATTGATTGTTGCCATTGTTTAAAATTTCAAGAGACAATTTACTTTTTGTGTTTAAAAAACTATTTTACTATTAATAACTATGAAAATAATCAAGTATTCATTCAATTATTTGAATATTTTATTCTTTAATGCTTCATATGATCATCTGAAAGTCCGTGTTGTAGGCTTAATGTGTAACAACATAGTGATATCTTGTTCAGAATTTTCAGCAGCAGCGAGCTAGTGTTAATATACGAACACTGCTGTAAAATCAACAAAACAGAAACATGGCTATTTAAGTGTAAGATTTTAATAAACAAAAGAAAAGGAATATTGCTCGATTTTCAACAGCATCCTTCGAGCATGAAAATGGTCACCATATGAGTTAAACCGTTACTCATACATATTTACAGTTTTTTACACTAAGTAAACTCTTTTCAGAATGGAACTGCGGTGTTGGAAGTGCCTTCGTTAGAATGTCTGCTCGCTGTTCATCACTTCTGACATAGTCTGATACAAAATGTTCCTTTGAGAATTCATCTCGGACAAACTTATATTTTTTGGTTGATGCGCTTTGCTCGTGTGAGGGACATTTTATTGTTAATGTACTTGGTGGTCATTTGGTTCACCATATTTGACTTTAAGACTTGACTTCTTAACAGGGATAGATGATGTTTCAGCATCGCCAAATTGACCTAATATTTTTCTTGTAAATGCTTCTAGGAGTAAGAAGAGGGAGCCATCATTTAAACATTCAACCTGCAGCCCAAGAAAACAATTTAAGGTTGTTACTTTAATGTTGAAATATTGCTTGAGTTCTCTATAAATCTGAAAAATGTTGTTTCGTCTTGCACAGCAACAATGCCATCATCAACATAAATCGCCATCAGCATCTTATGTTCGTAATCATTTCGTATGAACAGACAGTTGCCTGATTTACTTTGGATCATACCATATTTCTTTAGAACATCAGTGAACTTGACATTTCAACATCGTCCAGCTTATTTCAAGCCAAATACATGTCGAAGCATCTTGCATACACAACTACTTTTGTCATCCAACCCTTCAGGTTGATGCATATAATTTTCCTCATTCAGTTCACCATAAAGGAAAGCTATCTCTACATCAATTTGAAATAACTTCAGATTCTCTTTGGCTGCGGTAGCTCGAATAGTGTCACAGCGACACACTAGGCTAAATGTTTCTCCATAATCAATATCTGCCATCTGTGTGTATCCTTTTGCTACTAGACAAGCCTTGAACCTCTCGATTGAGTCATCTGGATTTGTCTTCACTCTGTAAACCCAATGATTGTTGAGGATTTTGCATCTGGTAGGTGGATCAACAAGTTTCCACATTTCATGCTGGACATCATATATGCAGGAGATTTTATAGCATCATTATATATTTTGGATTTTTCCAGTTTCAGAATACTGCTGTACACTTCATAGTCATTAAATCTGACAAGATGTTGGATATTTAGATGGTCTCACAATGTATGCACTGTCGTCTGTGTTGGTTTGTCTTTATCAGTACATGAATCATCAGACTCCTGTGAGCCTGCTTCATCAAGAGTATCCAAAATTTTAAACTCCCTACTGTTTACTGGACTAGTATGAGATGTCACTTCTATAGGTTGAGAAGTTGGGCCAATTTGATTTTCATAGAAAACAACATTGGCATTCTTTATTGTATCATTTTTGAAGGTATAAAAATATGATGATCACAACCTACAAAATAGCCCCTTATAGCCTTGTCATCTAGCTTATTTCTGTTGACATCAGGTACATGTAGAAATGCAGTTGATCCAAAAACTGAAATGTTGTTGATTGATGGTTTGCACCCAAACCATTCTTCAAATGGTTTCCCATGGTTTTACTTATGCCAATGCAATTGAAAATGTAGACAGCTGCATCTGCCCATAGGAATTGTGGTAAGCCTGATTCCTTGAGCATCATACATACAGCATTGATTCTCATTTTCAATCAAAACATTTTGCTCTGCTATATATGGTATAATGATTCGCAACTTGATACCTGTCATCAGTCATTTTCACCAATTTTGTATTATCAAACTCACGACCACCATCTGTAACTAATTCTTTGACATTTATACCATCTTTGCCTCATCTTTATGTCTTAGAAATTCTACAATTCGAAACTTAGAGTAATAGTCCTTAACCATTGACATGTACTTCTTTCCACCTCTTGATAAGACTGGTGATTCGAGCATGTCTGCATGCATGATTTTCCCAGACTTTTTGGTTTAGAATCACTTTTGTTTAAATGTTCGTTGGCTTTGTTTACCATATGTACATGGCTCACAAAATAGTCCATCATCGAAAAAATCAATACCATTTTGAAGCAAATATTTATTCACATACTGTATTCCTTGGTGCCCAAGACACTGATGCCGAAAGGATAGCGGAAACCTTGAAGTTGTTGTCATTACTGTTTCTGGAACAAGAGTTGTGATTTCATTTTCAACCAAGTGTGCTGTAGCAGCAGAACCCCTTTGAGGCTTCACTGGTTTTGGGTACAGTACAAAAAGTCCATTTGATGAGCATGGAACCTCTAATAGAATGTTGTCTTGGGTCTATTTGCGAGTCAAATGAGTTTGATATTCCTTGCTTCATTGCCTTTGAAGTTGATAATAAATTTTTGCTATACTCAGGTGCCTACAGCAACATCACTGAACTCAATATATTTTTCTATGTTTCCAACTGTTGCACACATGTCTATGTCACCACAGCCATGTGCCAGTATAGTCTGGTTGTTACCAACAGTTTATCGAATTGATGGCACATCTGAAAGTACTCAGCTGAATTTGTAATATGCGCTCTAGCTCCTTCGTCTTTAAGTAACGCATTTCGACCATGATTATCTTCTTGACAGGCAAATGCACTACAATGAGTATTTACAAAGAAAATTTCTGTTTTGATACTTGCTGTGGTTAGTCTGTCAGGGAAATCAGGGCAAAATTTTCCAATGTGCCATGGTTTATTAAAGTGAAAACTTATAACATTGATACCTTTCATACAATCACTGGTCTTACGAAGTCTATTAATCATTTTAGCATTATTTGATGTTAAGGGTTAAATCTGACATCCATTAAGGGTTAAAGGTTAAATCTGACTCCCCATCTGAGGCCTTTTATCACCCCAGGGGTGATTGTGAGCCCAATTCAAAAATCCTGAAAAGTTCTTGAGTAAAATCATTAATGAAACATTTCAAAAAATTAAAGTTTTTATAAATTTAAATCATTGATATTTTCACAACATGAAATTATATGCAGCATAATTTAAATTAGTAATTTTGTATTTAAAGTTTACTTTTATCTTTAATTACATTTATTATTCTACCAGAAAAAAATATTTACAAATGAAAGAGATGCCAAGTATAAATTCTAGTTCTAATATTTTTAAATAAAATATACAAGAATTTTTTACATAAATGTGATCGATGATTTCTTGAATTATCTGGACCTTGGACTCACAAAAATCACCGGCTCACGGTAAACGAAAAATCCGTAAATCAGGACTTTTTCTGGAACACAATCATCCCTGTCACCCTTTTTCAATTTCTTTCCACTATATTTTGCACCAAATTTAGCACTTGTTGTTGTGTCATCTCTAAATTCTTGATAATTTTTATGAATTAGAAACTTTGTTTTTATGGAGAGAAATTCAAATCTTAACAAAGTATGAAGTCCAAAAAACTGTCATTAGACAGTTATATATAATTTTGGATTTTAGCAGTGATATCGATTTTTTCATTAGCAAAAGATTCAAGATTCTCAAAACCAGATATAGTTTCAAACTCAGGATGGCCAATTTTTAGATGATTGAATGTATCACCAGAAGGTGTTAGTTGTTTTGTTTATTAGAGTGATAAAAACTTAATTTTATAATAAGACTTTAAAGATAAGCTTGGATATCCCCTTGGTGGAGGCTATAATAAGCTATGCAGCTTAACAATAACAAATTATTAAGGAAAACTATAAAATAAAAATTAAAACACTCTGTCGAGTGAGAAAAGAAAAATGCATTAAGATAGAAAAAATATATGAAACATTAAATAAGAGTGTTCCAAAACAGTGAAAGTATTTTTTTCCAATACAAATTATTATAGAAAAACTCTTTCAGATGTGCCAACCTAGCAAAATTAACATTCAGGAGTTTCTCCAACAAGAATTCAGGAGTGGTAAAAAAGGTGTATGTTATGCAACATTTGACACTTCTAAGGAATTTTAAATAAAACATTTATTAAATATAAGAATACAAGAAATTTTACACACTAATAGAGTACAAATTGTGGAAGAATATTAAATGTAACAAATATTAAATGGAAATAAATCATCTAAACACAGATTCAATCCATTAGTTCATTTTTACTTTACATTTCACAAACATAGCAACACAAAACTACATTGGGCAGATACTCTCTATTTAAAAAATTAATACCATGTCCTTTATAAAACATTATTCAAAAAACCTTGACACTGTAATAGAGAGGTACAAAAACTTTCAAAAAATTAATAAATCAAAGAACTCTAATTTTAAAAAACCAACCCAGAACTAATGTCAGTATGTATAAAAAATTTAACTAGTTAAAAAAAATGATCTAGGACAAATAAAATTATTTAAACTGTTAAATTAATTGAAATGTTATGATCAAAAAATATAGAAAATGAATGAAACTTAAAAAGGTTATTTTATAAACAAATAAAAAAAAATTGAAATATGACATAAATATGAACCACTAGCTTTGAAATAAAAACATTAAAAACACATTTTAAACAGAATTTAAAGAATTAACAGTTTCAGATTTAGCTCTTCGCAACAAAGTCTTGCTGAAGTCCTGTTTGTGACAATTTCCTTTCATTGTTGATTTTAGCATCAATAGTTTTTCAAGTGTTTGCGTTGACATAGTTGATCTAAATTGTGTGCAATTTTTCGTAATAAAACTAAATATTCTCTCACATGCAGCATTACTGTGAGAAAGAGTTAGAATCCCTAACATCACTTTAGATAATAAATCAAATCTGTTATTTCCTCCCATATCCTTCCTTTGGCCAATCAAGGCCCAAGCCTTATCAGTTCGTTCTGTCAGGATTTCCTGAGGTATTGTCTCAAGTTGCAGAGAACAAAACTGCCTTTGCAAAACGTCAACACTGGAAATATTGCCAGTGTTAGGTGAAAGTAATATAGGATAACGTTCCAGAAAGTACTTTACAGATGAAAATGAGGCTTCATCAATCCTCTCTCGAGAGGCCACTTCAGCATTTTTTTACCATGTAGTCACAAACACTAACATAGTATAAACGTACAGTTTTGAAAAAAATCTTCGGTAAATTCTCCAAAATCTTTGAAGCCCTCTCGCCTATGACTAAATCAGTATCACTTTTTTGATTCTCCAACTCATTAAAATCAAGATTTAAAAGAGAAGATGACTTTATCACACTAGGCTGGACAAATCTGGAAAACAGTTCTTTCAACATATCCATTAAAATTTTTCTCAACAAATGGATATGGGGAGTGCTTGATTGCAGCGTTGCATTTGATACCTCAAATATTGGTAAAACATTAAGGATAAATTGGCACAAGGCCTTATTTAAATCTGAAGATAGAAAGAGGAAAATCCTTTCTTCTCTACTCAATATACTCTGCCTTGCTGATGTAGTAGGAGGAGGGTTAGAATCTCGCTTTCTTTTCCTACAGTGTTGGCCATTCACTTCTTCTTTGAAGAATGATGCTAGTGGCTCCCACTGCTGCACTAATCTATCCAAACACCGTCCCAATGAAAGCCATCGGGTGGACACATGCTTCCGGATTTTCCTTTGCTCAGCATTGAACAAAGCTTGGAATTCCTGAAGCCATATTTCCTTTTGGCACTTTTCTCTAAATTGAAAAATATATCTATGAGAAATTCATCGATCTTGTCAGGAATGACAACTGCTCCCTTTTGGGTCGCCAAATTTATCAAATGACAAGCACAACCAATGACTGCCAAATGTCCAATTTCTTTTTTCAAAACACCAGCGACGGCAGTTTTTTCACCAATCATTACTGGTGCATTATCTGCCCCAAGAGAAAGACAATTTTCAAATGGTATATCATTTGCATTCAATTCTCTTAAAATCAAATTGGCAATATTTATGTCAGTTGAGTCTCCTTCTAAATTTGGCACAGACATTAAAGTGCTCTCAATTATCATACTTTTCTCATTATAATATGTAACAACAAGGGGATACAATTTAACATCAGACTTATTACTACCATCAGTTGATACTGAAAATGGACTTTCTTTTAAAATTTCTACAACAGATTCTTTTTCCATTGTAGCCATTTCGTTTATAATGGCTGTTGTTTTTGTTCTGCCAGCAGCATACTTTTTGGCGATACCATCGTTTGGAAACATCTTGCAGAACAATGGTCCAGCATGGTCAGCACAATTAATGGGCAGATTGTGTTCGATCAAAATTGCAGTCAAGTAGGCTTCAGCCCTTATGACCGAATCGTCATCGGCGGGAAATTTTTTTTTTGTGTAGTTTGCAAAAATTTCAGTGTTTTTGTGCTTTTGCCCATTTATGAGCAAAATGTCATTCTTGCCTCCGTGAGCAATTAATATATCACATGCACAGTCGGAACAAAAAGCATAAGTGCTTCCTTTACGTGATGCAATTATTGAAGGAAACTCATTAGTATATGATTTGTTAAATTTGGTAACATACTTCAGTTTCGATTTAGACATTTTCTAAAAATATACCAAGGAAGACAAAACGAATAACGAAAATCACGTTGAGTATAGTAAAGTGCGGCGAGCTCAAAATCACGTTGATTTGGTAAACAAACTAGTTTACAAGTTTGTTGCCAGCGGTTGAAAAAAAAAGAACAATCCAATTGTTGCCAACCGTTGAAAAATACGCACTAAAAATTATAAAAACAGCAAGATACAATATCGATTCCAACTATCGAGAGTAGGAGTATCCACTTCGGTTCTGACGTCACTGCATATCGTCATATGACATCATCGCATTCAACTCCACAGGAAAGGAGAGGAGGAGAATTCCGAAGAATCCTAGTGTAAGGGGGCGGGTCAAATAGGAGTGTTAAAGAGGGGGAAAGGAAGCACCTGCAGCTACGCTTTAGGCAGATGGTAGTTTGTTAAGAGGGGACGGAATTAACACGGGGAAAAAAACTTACACACTCGCGGAAAAATCAGATAATTTTGAAATTGGCCATCAATTGAGGTAAAATTCGGGAGCTTTTCGTATCAATTTCGGAGGGTGGGAGAAGAATTAAGAATTCGGGAGACTTGGCACGTTTGCTCTTTTTTAAGAAATAGTTTTGCACGAATGCAATTTTTAGGCCATAAACTTAGTTAATTTTCGATTAGATATGCTTTTTTTAATATATTGATATATATATTTCTTATAATGATAAAAAAAATATGTTTCGAAACTCAAATCTTTAGTTAAGCAGTTATTTTTACATGTTCTTACCAATTTATAATAATGACTTCTAAATACAGATAGAAATTAAGAAAAATCATTTGTAAGATTTTTAAACACACTCTCATATTTAAATGAACAGAGATTCAGTTAAAAAAAAATGAGTTCCATGAAATAATGCTTAAATCTATTAATTCACCTTAAGTTTCTCCTCGGAAAGTTCTTCAGGATCAGGAAGCATTTTTAATACAGTTTTCGCAATACTTTGAATTTCTAGATCAATAGCACTAAGGTCCTGAAATCCATCACAGGAGCCATCTGAATGGAAGTGTGAGTAAAAAGCTGCACGTGAACTGCAGTGAATCTTTTCACACAGTTTTGTGTCAGAGCATGGTACATTTGCTACATTTACCAAATTTTTCTGAAATTAAGAATTCTTGCTTAATACATAAATAAATAAGAAATTATTTCAAAAAATAAACTTAACTGTTTTAATTACAAAACTTACCAGAATTGCACTAAGCATTTTCAAATCATTTGCGCTATTGCTAAAGCAATCTGAGAACAAATAAGAATAACATCACTTAATTCCATATTGTACAAACAGAGAACCAAAAAAAATCTTAATAATAATTTATTTTAAAATTACCCCAATCTTTTTTTCTTTTTTTTTTACACATATCCTTCAAATTCACAGAGCATGAAAAATAACTGGAATAATTTTTTCTCAATAATAATTATTACAAAATTTTTTAACCACAAAGTAAAGATGTTTTATAAAGCAATCAGTTTTTTATTTAATGAATTTTTCTCCTTCAGCTCAAAAAAGACATTGCTGTTAATTGATGTTGCTCAGAAAAGACATAAATACACGGTTGTTATCTCAATTATTTAACTTATCTCAGTTGCATATTTACCTCAGATGGTGAACCTGCACAATACAAACATGTAATTTTCTCATGCAAGTATAAATTGCATCACCACACATCTCACTACATCACAGTCACAGATTTACTCGTACATTAATCTCGGACTCACTCGATGACACTAGTACTCTCAATCAGATGTGTAGACTTGTATTCTGGACTAAAATTCTTTAAAAAAAGTTAACTGTTAGTTTTGTCAACTGGAAAAAAATTCCTTAAAAGCGTCATATTTTAAAATGTCCTACTATTTTAGAATCCACGGCATCTTCAAGTACACCATAACAAACTTGAAATTTATGCTGATGATTCACTTTGCAAAAATAGTGGGTAGGAACGGCCCCCATCTTTCAGTTTCTCCGTTTGAAGTTGACAATGGCCTGGCTAAATCCAGGCTAATGCAATTTGATAATTCAGGATGGTAGAAAATAAATCCCGGTTGTGCCTAAAACACAATCCATAACCATGATATCTCTGAGATTGATGCAGAATATCATTGTATCTCAACAAAACAAATAAGAAAACGAAGCTTCTAAAGCAATAAATTTATTATAAAAAACATACTAAATTGGTTGACAAACTGTCACAAACAGAGTGACTAAGGAAAAGAATGAACACAAAATAATCTGCTTCAACAGAAGCTTAAATACTCTTTAAACAGATAACTGATGACGTCATGATCCACGTGAGAATGACCAACAGCAAATGAAAAGAAACTGGTCGATAAACGCAGACCATAACATTACCGACGTAAGTTGAATGCATGAGATTGTCCTCTTAAACGACTGATGAAGATCGAACTTTATACTCTTTTAACATTTATTTATTTAACATGTAATCCTAAAATCCCGCATTGATGTACATAGCGCATTCGCTAATAACATACATAAAATTTACGATTATCACTGCATAGGCCGCACTGTCACATACTCTGTAATATTAATTTCAGCATGACAGATTTTAGCCACTTTTAAGGGAAAAATACATTTTAAGTATAAAAAGGAAAGAAAACAAAATTTGGCAATGATGTATCACATATGAAAGTGAACTAAAAAAAATTCTAAAGTAAAACACATGAGCTCAAAATCCCACATTCAACTTTAAAAACACCAACGTCATGGTGTAAAAAGAGAGTCAAAACTGCTAACTGGCTGCTGTTGAAAGAATAAGAATGGAAGTGAAACACTGCGAATTGATCGTGCGACGCTGTTGACGTAATCAATAAGAACAGCAAAATTTTTTCTTCCGCTTTCGATTTTTTCGAACAACGTGCTTCATCCATTCCTAAGAACAAATCGCAAGAAAAAGGGATAGAAGTGAAACACAACATGCCAATCATATGACTCTGAAGATTTCATCAATACAAACATCAAGTTGTAAATTGGCTTGTGTGGCACATTCGTAATTGACGTCATACAGTCCATCATCAATCAAAAACTTGTCTTACCCCGTCATATTTAAATAATAAAAAACATAGCTAAAAATGAGAAAAATGTACCATTTTCTGAGCAAATTGATATTGCTCTGCAATTTTAGAACATTTTAAGTAAACATTTATTTGTGATTAAATCCATGATGAACCAATCCAAGATTGCAGAAAAATGAAATTGTCGCACAAAGCGCACATCACAATACTTTTAGTTTTCAATACAGGTAGGGTGCAGCTTATAACCAGAAATTACAGTATATATATACAGTCAGACCTCAATATAAGGTCACCCTAAGGGACATCGCAAAAGTGACCTTATAAACGGGGTGACCTTTTGACCAATTCATTAGCAGTTCGTAACTAAGCACGTAAATAGTACACATTATGATTTTTTTAAAATGGTAATACAGTAGAGAACCGATTATCCGAAAGGATCGGGATCATCGCTATTCCAGATAACTAATTTTTCTGGTTTTCTGAATCGCTACAAAAAAACTTTTTTTATTGTCAAACTCAACTAAAAAAAATATATATCTTTAGAATAATTTAAAAAAACTCTTACTTCTTTTGACAGTGTAGGGAACTAATGATTATTTCTAAAGTGCTGGTAAACATCTTTTATAAAAGAAAGAAGAATTCTGAAATCTTTTGAGGAAAAAAATTTTATTTTTTAAATGCCGGGAAAATTTATTGAATTTTGTTCCGGTTTTCCGGTATTATGATTTCTGGATAAAAGGTTCTGTACTGTACAAACGAAACAATCGGCAATAAATTTAATATTTAAGTCAATAAATTTTAACAGAATTAGTAAAGAATTAAAGAAAGTTAGATTTTTAAAAAAATCTTTTATTTAAAATAAAGCTGTTTACAAATTTCCTCAAAGTGTACATACATACATTACATCTTACCTTATCTAAAATAATCATTTATGCAGGTTGTTTTGTTTTTAGTTTCATTTTTCGAACAATGTTTTCTAGATTTTGTAACTTCTCAAAATGTTCCTCAGCTCCCTAATGGTTTTTAAAAAAATTTCGTATAACATTTATGGCACTGAAGGCTTCTACTTGGGTAACAGATACAGTCTCAGGATCACTGTCATTGTCCAAAACTTGTGAAACAATTTCAGAAATTGTAGCTTGTTCGTAGGCTGCAACATTTTTCTAGAACTCGAGAGGGGTAATTGCCTTGTAAGAAAGTCAAATAGGCTTTTGTTAGAAAAAAAACTCCCCTCGCCTCAGAAAAAAATTACCTTATAAGCGATAACGATTTTGAAAACTTAACCATATATCCGATAATCTGTAACAAAGAATTCCTATTCAGTGAGCCGGGACTTTGAAAAAGTGACCTTATATGCGGGGTGACCTTATATGCGGATGACCTTATATCGATGTCTGACTGTGTGTATATATATATATATATACTATTTTTTATAACCTGCATTATTGTATTATTTTAAGATAATTTAAACATACTTTAAATTTACATAATTAATTAATTAACTCACTTGTTCAGGGTTCCCACTCTTTTATCAAAGC